ATTGATCAAAGTAAACGAGTAGTGGCAAAGGCAAAAGGCCAAAATTTATGAGGAATTTTAGAATGACCAAGTAAAGTTAAATTGGTCCTAATAATGTGATGATGCATATGCTCAACAAATGGCATGATCATAATCGATGTTAGTGAAATATGTCCGTAATTTTTTATATTCACCATCCTAGTTGGTTTGAACTATTTTAACTTTAGTAGAGAATCGACATTCAATTAATGATGCTTGTCGAATTTAGCAAATTAATTTATTTTAATGGTTTCATAAATTATATAGTATTATCAAGTCTAGTTCGAACCCTAAGGACTAGATAATCAATTTAGCTAACTTAGAATGGAGGAGGGGTTGGTTGCATTGAAAGTCCAAACATTATATCAAAAATAGAAATCAAATACAAGGAAACTATAGTTAATAAAAGCTTTAGTTCAATTTGCATATTGATTATAGAAACCTAGATTATTATTATCTCATCAAATACTTAGCCAATAATTACCAAGAAGCTAGATAAATCTTAATCATCTCTACTTTCATTAATTCAATCCCAATATCTATATTAAAATTTTATTATCAATTGATTTGATATTAAGCAATCCTAGTTAATTTCATAAAAACATTATGAATTAGAAAGAAGTCAAGATTAAAAAATAATTTTAAGAAGTTTAAATTGTTTAATTCTTCTTTGTTTTTCCTTAGGTGATTAACAAAAAAACTAAAATCATAATCTTGAAACCTTATTACTCGCTTGTGCTAATCATTCATAACAATTACAAATTACAAAAGATAGCTATCAATCAATCACAATAAACAATCAATAATAGGTCATCTCGGACAATCATCTATGTAATCATAAATAATTAAAAATCAAGAAAATAATAGGTATTCAAATCAAAAATAGTTTAAAGGCAAACCTTGTATCTCACAATCTTGGTTCAAATTGAAGTTAAAATCTCTTGAACCGAATCAATAAAATTAGCTAGACAATGTGTAAAGTGCAAATCCTAAATTTAGTCTCCTCTTTAGGATAACCCGGAGGTTATTTATATATATGAATAGATAAATATGGCAGCTAATAAACCATATCTCATATGCTTTATTTTCGGAATTGCTAGGACTTGTAAAATAAGACTTCGAATTTTATGCTAGAACTTCCAAGCTAATTTTTTATCGGTGTAAAGCTAATTTTTCTCTTTTAGAAGTTGTGGTCCTAGATGTTTTGTTTCTTTAAGCATTTGAATCTCCTCAATCTAATGACTAGAACTCTAGATATGGCCTAAATATTGATCGGTGTATGAATTGCAATGAGATCCGATTTTTTGACATGACTTTGTAACCAACTTTAAAAGCCTAAATCAACTTGGATTTATGTGTTTAAACCCAATTTAAAAAGTTTAAGATATTCACTTTGAATCTCAAGAAGGCCCCTTCCATGTTCTAAAGCTCTAAAGAAGTAAAATTCTCATATTTTCTTCTAATGGTAAATTTGTCAACATTGTAAAATTTTACCTAAGTTAGCTCACTTTTACTACCTTACCTCCAATTTTCTCCTAAATTATAAAATAAATTTTATTCAATAATTATAACCTAAAGCACATTCAAAAGACTAAATATAGGAGAATCTTTATAATGCAATAACCCCAACTATCAACTAACTTGTAAAATTGGAGATAAATTTTAAAGACATATAATTTATTTGAAATAGGATAAGACCAAATAAATTTAACAAAAACATCAAAAAAATAAAATAAATAATAATAAAATTCATTTAATAAAAGCATTGCAGATGGACTTCATGCATCACTAAAGATAAGCTTCAAAGAGTCACTAGACATATGATCAATAGTACCTAAAGATAACCTAGAGGATCTTCCTAATAGATAAGTCGGGTACTCAAATTCAAAACTAGAATTTAAGCATGGAACTTCATTTTATAAAGCTAGCCAACTTAAAATACAAGGTGTAAAATGTCTAAGTCAATAATGCCATGCATGTCTTAGTAAAAGCACAAGTTATGAGAAAGACTTAAGGAACAAACATGGCCGACGATTTGGAATGGATAAAAAGATCATTCTTACTTCGTCTATAGAGAAGATTTTCATTGAAAATGAGATTCTTGACACAAAAATAAAACTATAAAATTAAAAAAAAAATTATTTTCACATATAAATTATTAAACGAGAGTAATGGTTTTTTTAATATATGGTACAAGAAAGATGCATGACATTTTAAGTATGCATTTTGGTGCGTGTAAAGTAGTTGAGGCAATTTTAGATATATCAAGTCCCTTACCATCTCGTATTTGTAATTGATAATGACCACTATAAGGATTTGAGTGAGTTATACATCTAAGGCTAGGAATGACATGATGAGTGGCATCAATGTTGGAAATCATTAAGTTGGGAAAGTCGAATTAGTGTGCAATGCCATATGAGCCACCGACTAGAGAGCTTTTTGCTACCATTATAGGCATGATTAAGCAATGTGATTCTATCCATTGTATGGTTCGCAACAAGTTTTTCGACCAAATAGAGGGTTAGACCATTAAGACTAATTTTAGAATAGTGCTTGGTGTGAATTAGCTCGATCTCAAAAGTTGGAACCACCTATTCTATATCTCTAACATCCTCGGCTTTAACTCATTTTACCATTAAAAAAAAAGAAGAAGAAGAAGGATTGTTGTTATTGGTTATAGTAATTCTTGTCATGAGGTTATTGATGTTGAGAAACAAGTGGTGAACATATTGGTCGAGATGAGAGTAGGAGTGCCCTACTTGGCCGATGAAGTCGATGAGAAAAAAGCATTTTGATTAAGGAACTCATGACTCGACAAGAGGTTGCTCAATTATAGTTAGAGATACTTAATCATATCTCTAATTTTCTTTCCACACCCTCACCCCCCACCCACCCACCCCTACTAATAAGTAAAATGAAGAAAAGGGATTGTCAAAGCATTTGGAAAAAAATGATTGATCTCTATCAATAGACTTGCTAAAGACTTCAACCATAGAGTACTTATTATTAGCGTTATGAATAGATATTTTTACTTTTTTTCATCGTGTTGGAGCTAGAATTATTTCATGTTTATCTACTTATATCTATGTGGGGAAGGGGGCAACGTCTATATTCATCTACAAAATGTGTTTTGTGAGCAACATCTATATATAGCTAAAAACTCGTATTTTGTATACTACATTAAGTTTTGTTTTTTTACTAATGGAAGCCTTAGATATCCTCTAGTCGATAAGGTGATCACAATATCTTTGAATTCTCCATGCAATCCTTTAAAGACATAAAAATTAAAATCTAAAAGAGACATCGATCTAGATGTTGTAACTAATTCATTATTAATTTACTTTAAATTTTTGCAAATAAAAAATATTGAGTAATCATTATGTTTAAGTTCTTGAAGTGACATATGAAGTTGTATAACTCTAGTACTAGAGGGAGATGCCAATGCATGGTCTACAAGCAAATCAAATACCGTGAGAGAATGTGTAATCAATAAATAAATAAAATATCTCTAGAGACAAAGAGGCAATCAAGGTGCTCATTAGCAGTTGATCCGTCAAATTCATAAAAATAAAGTGGATTAGGTTGCGGAAGTGATGCGGATCAATAGATTTTGGAATTCATGGAACGGTATAGCGTGGCAAAAACTAAACAAAAACTATCAACCCAATTTTAAGGTTTTTTTGATCTAATTCGATGTCAAACGAGCTAACGATCAAAACTCATAGGCTATGCCAATGATATAAGGGTGATTTTGGCCAAAAAAAAAAAAAAAAAAAAAAAAACATACATCATTTGGGCCTTCAAATCAGCTTTTACTATTTTTTGATATTTTTTTCTAATTTTTTTTATTTTTAGTGTTTGTTTTCCTTTTAAATTGTTTTAGGGTTTTAGCTGAAATTTACTATTTATGTATGACTTTGAAACGGAAAAATGCCACTTTTCTTAGCTAATAAAGTTTTATAAGAGAATATCTTAGTTTGATCCCAATTTTTGGTATTCCTTGAATCAATGAAAATTGAAACATATATATATATATATATATCAACAAGTTGTAGTAGATAGGTGGCTGGATTTCGGATCAACGGTATTTATTTTCCTTTAGTGAATTTTGGCTACGTGAGGAAGAAAGGCATGTTTGTTGATTTGATAAGATGGTGGACATGACCTAGAACCATCAATGAAGCCAGAAAACTCTGGATCTCGTAGAAAGGGTTTCGTTTGAAGTTTTTAATACAAATAATTTGTTACAATTAATTAATTTCAACCATATATAATGGTGGGCATTTGCGAGAAGAATAGCATGAGCAGACAAGAGAAGAGATTGATGTTGCACGGCGGTCAAAAGAGAGTTTGTCTACTGCTGTAAAAAACATAAAGAAGAGGCTTTCAAAACAGTGGATGCCAGATCTAGAACTGCCGGAATAGTAGCAATTATGACAGTTTGCTGGTTGATTGGTATTGCTGTGATATTCCCTTCATCTAGAGCTGAAAATTGCAGTAGAGTTCAGTGAGTGGGATTGACTGGTTTTTATGAAACAATTATACGATTGTTTTGATGCCAAATTAAGATATTTATATCTAGGTTATAGAAAATATTATATCTAGGTTTTTCTCCTGGGCTTTTGGCCCCCATTACGACCCAAATAAAGGCATAGTTGTTCTGAAAATCAAGATGCTCTCTTAGGAAGACTCCAACAGTCGTTTCGGTGAGCTTCCTTTTTTTAACGATATTTCTATCTTAAGAGGGGAAAAAAAAACCTTAAAATATAATATGTCTTGAATATTAAAAAGGGAAAGAATAGAAGTTGACCGTTATGGTGGAGCTGGTGGCTCGCCTCCCTTCCCTCTCTACGTCTAATTTTCACTTCCTTACTTCATTAATTTGGATATTTGGCTCCGATATGCACTCACTGGTACCTTTGATTTTCTACCCTTCGCCGCATAAAACCAACGAAGGAGAACCAAATTTAAAATCATACAAAATGGAGTGGAGCACCATAGCTTCTCCCTTGTAAATATTAATCGCTTAAGCTTCAATTCGATCTAATCCGGAAACAGGGGGCAAGATAACAAAACAAAAGAAGCAAAGAGAGCTAGGGTTGAGAGACACAGATTGAAGAAATTAGTTGAGACAGCTATGGGAGCTGTAAAGCATTGCATATTGTTAGTTTTCTTTGCATTAGCCACACAAACTCCAACTCTCAAGGCCGGCATTGCCAATAACGACGAGTACTGGGAAAAACGAGCTGAAAAAGCCAAGAAGGCTTCCCGTGAGGCCTACGAACCAAATCCGGAACAAGTGGCTGAACATTTCAACCATGAAGTGCACAAGTAAGTTAATGTTATTAAACATCAATAACATTAATTGTGATATTAAAGTCAAAACAATATCTCTTTATGAAAATGCTGATTGTAAGTAAAAATATTTTAAATGTTCTTAATTTAGGTCCTTGGAAGGTGGCAATAGTACAAGAAGGAACCTAGGAAAATTCAAAGGCCCATGCCTGGCAACAAATCCTATCGACCGATGCTGGAGATGTGATAAAAACTGGGCTAACAACCGTAAGAAGCTGGCAGGTTGTGCCCTAGGTTTTGGACGCAAAACCATAGGAGGCAAGCATGGAAAATACTACGAGGTAACAGACCCGTCAGACAATGACATGGTGAATCCTAAACCGGGAACATTGCGCTATGGAGTGATTCAGGACAAACCGCTTTGGATTACATTTGCTCATGATATGGTAATTAGGCTAAGCGAAGAACTACTGGTAGCATCAAACAAGACAATTGATGGGCGTGGTGCTAATGTGCACATTTGCTTTGGTGCTCAAATTAGTCTACAATTTGTGAAAAATGTGATCATCCATGGCCTCCACATTCATGATACTAAAGCCGGAAATGGTGGGATGATTAGAGACTCGGTGGATCATTATGGCTTTCGTTCTCGAAGCGATGGAGATGGAATTTCAATTTTTGGATCAACTAATATTTGGATTGATCATATCTCCATGTCTAATTGCCAAGATGGCCTCATTGATGCCGTAATGGGATCCAATGCCATCACCATATCTAATTGTCACTTCACCAAACATAATGATGTACGTACACTTTTTTTATATATATGAAATTAACTCAATCAAATTAATTGAAGAGATTAGAGTAACCATTCATCCATGTAATAATGATAAATTCAGTATGTCATGGTAATATAATTTTCTTATCTCGTAAATTACTAATCAGTAAAATCAATTTTTTTAACCGCCTAATCACCTATTGTGGATTACAAGGTCTTATTTTTGATAAATAAATAAATATTGACAATTAATGTGAAGTATATTACATTTTAGCATGGAGAATGTATGTAGATACGTTGATGATGGTTGTCATTTGAAGATATACAAATTCGTTGCAGGTAATGTTGTTTGGAGCAAGCGATAGTTATTCTGGTGATTCAGTGATGCAAATAACTGTTGCTTTCAACCACTTTGGACGTGGATTAGTGCAAAGAATGCCGAGGGTCCGATGGGGGTTTGTCCATGTTGTAAACAATGACTATACTCACTGGGAAATGTATGCCATTGGTGGTAGCCAACATCCTACTATCGTTAGCCAGGGTAACCGGTTTATTGCTCCTCCTAATCCAGCATGCAAAGAGGTGCGTACACTCTTCTAATTATGTCAAGGATGGAACCTGAACCTTCGCATGTGTTGAACACTCTGTACTTTGATTAAATTAGGTCCTCTATATATGTTGAACCTTCTGCAACATTCTTAATATGTGTGTGTGTGTGTGTTTATGTAGGTGACCAAGAGGGACTATGCTGTTGAAAGTGTGTGGAAGTCCTGGAATTGGATATCAGAGGGGGATTTGATGCTCAACGGAGCCTTCTTTGTTCAATCTGGTAATGCAATCAAGACAATGAACAGACAGGATGTGATCAACGCAAAGCCGGGTACATATGTGAGCAGGCTCACACGCTTTTCGGGTGTTCTCGACTGCGTTAGAGGTCAACCATGTTAATCTGTACGGCATTAATTAGCTACCTGGTATCTGCGAAGCTAGCTAGGGGAACCAGTTAAAAACCGAACCCTATTTTTATTAAAAAAGAAATAGAGGTTTAATTTAGCAAGGGCAAATTCCAACGTTTCTGTAGTTTAAGTAACCCGATTACCTTTTAACTCCATCTATAAAGATTAATTAATTATAATATTATTGCAACAAATTTCTATTTGGAATATTGTTTAATGTATTCTCTCTCGAGCTAGTTAATTATTATATTAATTTCCGTACTAATTTTTTCACTAAACATGTCATTGATAAACCAGGTGTTATAACAAATAGCAAAAACAAGATAAGTAATGATAGATAATAATCAAAAGATAAAGCTAAACAAATTATCAATACACATGATTTACATGATTCAACAAATTGCCTACTCCACGAGTGAGAGGGAAGTTTTATTAGCTTGATAATTGAAAAATACAAGAATCATGAAGGCTCAATACAAAGTCTTTGTCTTTTGCTCTATTTCCTAAACAGAGACATAAAGAGGTTTAAATATCTCATACTTATAAAAAAGAAAACCTAATGTACTAAATATATTATTGGCCCATAACATTCAAGCCATATATGGCAAATCTCCATCTTGGCTTGAATTATGCAAACCTTTAAGAATGTCAAATAATTCCTTAAAGAACACCTCTAAACTTACGTGACTAACTTGGTGTAAGAAATAAGAGATGTGAAGAGAGAAAATATTAACTTCAACGTTAGGACTAACAAATTTCTTCTCTCCAACAAAACCCCAACATGCACGGACAAATGCTTAAGGTGCACGGACATAAGACAAGTACTTCACACGAGGCCGAAGCATGAAGCACGGAAGAGAGAAAAACTCACACGATCGTATCTCTCTCCTTCACATGGCCGAGCCTCTCTTTTCAGCAGACACATTTTTATTTTCTCAATACCACTCAAGTCTAAACAATACGTGAACTTGTTTGCTATAATAAGTTTAGTTAACACATCAGCTAGATTGTCTTTAATGTGAACTTTCTTCATCGTAATCTTCTTGTCGAAACTACTTCACGAATGAAATGATACCCGATATCAATATGCTTAGTCCTCTCGAGATGTGCTTGATTTTTAGTTAAGTGTATGGCACTCTGGTTGTCATAAAAGACAACTGAATTTTCTTTTTGTTGAAGACCAAGTTCCTCTACAAAATTTCTCAACGAAATAGCCTCCTTCACAGACCTCGCCTACTACCATATATTATGCTTCGATAGTCGATAAAGCAACTATCAACTATAATGTTGATCTCTAACGAATAGCAAAACCCGAAAGTATAAAAATATATCCCATCAAAGATCACCTTTTATCAAGATTAATTGTATAGTCAAAATCCACAAAGCCTACAACAAAAGTTTCAAAAGCACTACCCCTTTCAAAGACTAAACCCAAGCTTATGGTACGTTTGAGATACCTAAGAATCCACTTCATTGCTTGCTAATATACCTTTTTTGGGTAAGCCATATATTTGCTCACAACACCGATTGCTTGAGCAATGTCTAGACGAGTACGATTATAGCATACATTAGGCTACCTACCGTACTAGAATATGAAAACCATGATATTTTCTTCTCTTTTTCTTCATTCTTAGGTGACTCGGGAAGCCAAAAATCTGAAGTGAGCAGCTAATGGAATATTGACGAGTTTGGCCTTCGCATACCAAAACACTCAAGTACTTTTTCAATATGTCCTTTTTGTGAAAGATATAATTTTTCAGCCTTCCTATCTCTATGAATCTCCATACTTAAGATCTTCTTTGATGCTCCAAGATCATTCATCTCCAACTCATCACTTAGTTGTTTCTTTAGCACTCTGAATTTTTGACATGTTCTTGACAAGCAATAAGCATGTCATCCATATATAATAAGAGATACATAAAAGTTCTATTTACAAACCGCTTAAAATATACATAACTATTATAAGTAGATCTTGAATAACCATGATTAAGAATAAAACTATCAAACCTCTTGTACCATTGTCTTGGTGATTGTTTTAGGTCACATAAAGATTTCTTCAATCTACAAACATGGTTTTCTTTTCCTTCCATAAAGTATCCCTCTAATTGAGACATATAAATAGTTTCTTCAAGCTCTCCATACCGAAAAGTTATTTTCACATCAAGTTGTTCGAGTTCAAATCAAATTGAGTCATTATAGCAAGCAATACATGAATAGTGATATGTTTCACAATTAGAGAAAATACTTCATTGTAATCAATTCCTTCCTTCGATATAACCTTAGCCACCAATCTTGCCTTGAATCTAGCATTTTCAACACTTGGTATTCATGCGTTCTTCTCGTAGACCCATTTGCATCCAATGACTCGTTACTTTTAAGTAATTTCATCAAATCCCAAGTTTGATTTTTATATAGTGACTCAATTTCTTCTATCGTTACAACGGCCCACTAATTAGACTCTTCATAAATCACTACCTCTATATAGGTAGAAAACTCTTGAATACCCATTATCTCATCTTCAATAAGGGCATAAACTACTAGATCAAGCATAACTATATGTCTAGGGAGGTCTTAGTCGTCTCTTCCTAGGCTAGTAGCTATCGAGTACGACTGCTCGTATTCCGTGGTATCTTCATTCATATATGAATCTTATTATATGTCCGTAATTATAGGAGATGCATCTAGAGATGGTTTTTAAGGATTCTCTCTTTTAAAATCCACCTTATTGATGGCTTTCTCACTCTATCCTATAGACTTTACAAATAACTTTTTCTTGATCAAGCATATATTTCTCATTAATAGTAACATCTTTACTAATAATGAATTTAGATAAATTGAGTTCAAGGCACCATAGACGATAACCTTTCAACCCATCGAAGCATAGCCAACAAATATCCATTTCTTTGCTCTAGGTTCAAGTTTACCATCTTTAACATGATAATAAGCAAGGCATCCAAATACTTTTAAACTTGAATAATCAATAGGTTTACTTGACCATACCTTGTTTGGAGTCTTACAATCAATGGCATTAGATGGAGAACAATTGAGAAGATAACAAGTCGTGTTAACTCGCTTCAACCCAAAAATCCTTCTCCAAACCCAAATTAAAGAGCATACATATAACTCTCCCCATCAATATCTTGTTCATGCACTTTGCTACCCTATTTTGATAAGGAGTGCATCTAATCGTGCGATGCCGAACAATCCTAGAGTTTGTACAAAACTCATTAAAATTTTCACCATAGAATTCTAAGCCATTATCTCGTTCAAAGATGTTTAACTTTCTTTTCTATTTGATTCTCTACTAGAACTTTCCATTGTTTAAAGATTTCAAAAACATCACTCTAATGTTTGACAAAATAAACTCAAACCTTTTGAGAGTAATTATCAATAAATGTTGAAAAAATAAAGTGCATCACCTTTGGATAGAACCTAAGCTCGATCCCTATAAATCTAAATGAATGTAATCAAGTGTGCCCTTAATAGAATGAGTGCCAACAGAGAACTACACTCTAGTTTGCTTTCTTAAGACACAATGCTCACGAAATCAAGTAATGTCATTTGATCACCAAAAAGCAAACCACTTTTACTCGTAGTAGTCATTCCTCTCTCACTCATATGGCCCAAACACATATGCCACAATTGAGTCCTTTTCCTTTCAAAGTAGGAAGTAATCACTCATACGAGCCTCGTTACTATACTACCTTGTAACATGTAGAGATAATTAATTTGAGTTGTTTTCATCACAACCAAGGAATCCTTAGAAACCTTAAGAATTTCACCTTTACCGGAGTAGTTATAATCTCTCAAATCTAGATAACTTAAAGAAATTAGATTCTTCTTCAAATCTAGTATATGTCTTACTTTCGTCAAAGTCTTTGCAACCAAATCATGACACCTAATATGAATTATACCAATATTAGTGATCCCACAAGTTGAATTGTTCTTCATCGGAATATAACCACCACTTATAGGTTCATAAGTGGTAAATCACTTTTTATTTGGACACATTAAATAAGAAGCATATGTATCCAAAATCCATTCTTAATCATAATGATCATCTAGATGACATATAGCAAGAACACTTTCGACGAGCATCAACATTCGTAGCCTTTTCAACATTAGCAAACTCAAAACTTTGACCCTATGGTTTCTTCTTCTTCTTTAGAGTAGGATAATCCGATTTATAATATCCTTTCTTGTGATAGTAGTAACCTCAATATTGTTTTTCTTATCCGAGAGTGATCTAGATTTAGAACAAATTTTTGGTCTTCCTTTATAACCTTCTCTATCCTTATATCTTCTCCTTACTAATAAACCCTCGACTTAACTATCAATGGCTTTACCATTCAATTTATGTCTCGGATCAAGCAAAATTCAAAAAAGCCTTAACATCCTCTAAAGTTATAGACTCTCTATCATACAATATTGAATTAACAAAATTCTCATACGAAACGAGTAATGAACAAAATACAATGAGAGCTTGATCTTTTTCATTAAGTTTAATATCAAGATTTTTCATATTCATAACGAGTCTTATTAAATTCATTAATTTGTTCATGAATAGATGTACCTTCTCGCATCTTTAGTGTATAAAGACACTCGCTCAAAATACAATCTTGTTGTAAGAGATTTCTTTATCTATAGGTTTTCTAACTTCTTCCACACTCTCGCCGTCATCTCTTCATTTGTGACTTCTCGTAGTACCTTGTCCGACAATGATAATTGTAGAGCACTTATGAGCCTTCTCATCCATCTCTTTAATTTCAACATAAGTCATGTCATCGAGGTATATATCCTTAATTTTCTTAACAAAACCTTCACGTCGCGACAAAGCTTTCATCTTTATTCTCCATAGGCTAAAACTATTTTGAACATCACAAGGCGAAACATCAAATTTTAGAACCGCAATTACGAATAGAAAAGCCTTACACATGCGTAACCTACGCTCCGATACCGGCTTGTTATGACAAACAGTGAAAACAAGACATGTAATAACGAGATAATAATCAAAAGATAAAGATAAACAAATTATCAACACACAGGATTTACGTAGTTCAACAAATTACGTGCTCCATGGGCGAGAAGAAAGTTTTATTAACTTGATGATTAGAAAATACAAGAACCCTAGAGACTCAATGCAATGTTTTTGTTTTTCACTCTATTTCCTCAACAAATATATAAAAAAGTTTAAATACCTCATACCTATAAAGAAAAAAAAACCTAATAGGCTAAATATATTATTAATCTATAAAATTCAAGCCATATATGACACTAGACAATCGCCAATTTTCAATAATCAATGTAACCAAACAAAGTTTTATGAACACAAGCAAGCTTTAGCCTAAATGGTTCAAGCCCCGATGACTCTAGTTTTTTTAATGATTATGTAATGAGGAGGGCTATGACTATCCCTATTGTATAGTCTAATAGATTCGTTGCGCCTCTCATGAATCAAAAACAAAAAGTTCATGAAGGAATATTCTTTGCTATTCATAGAAAGTGGAAACATGAGCAGTCTTCTTCAAAATCAAACTGTAGACTGTATAACGAGTATTTCATGAGGCTCAGCTTTCTTTAAAAATGTAGTATTGATTTGATTAGTACTGACCACCAACCATGAATTTAACCATCTAATTAGCTTGGTTCTAAAGCCAGTTGGCCTTCGTTTTTATTTATTTAGTTTATCTGAGCCAGAGCAAGAGCCCAGGAGACATGTCATTTAAGTTCCTGAACCTTGTCCTACCAACATAGTGAGCATGCATGCATGACATGAGAAGCTGCACCATGAGCCAGAGTCAAGCTAATTATGAGAAGTTTGCTCAATAGAACATGAGGGCCATTGATAATCGCCATATACATGACTATTCGGCCAATGAACCCACAGGAGAACGAAAAAAAAAAAAAAAAAAAGCCAACCACCAAATTGGCACTCGTGTATGTTTGTGTTTATGTGCAAGCATGAATGCCTGGGGTTAAAACTCGAGACTTCTTGAGAGTAGAAGGGACACGTAATTCAATTATGCCACAGTATGATATGGAACTGCAACGTGAATAACCTGGATGCAAGTAACTTTGATCTCCTAATTTATCTATAATATTATAGAATTTACATAGAATTTCGTTTGCTGTTTCCTCTTACAAGAAAATCAGTCTCCCTCTCTTCAACCTTTCAGAGAAATTACGAAGCTATAAACATAAAATGACAATTCTCCCCATATATAAACTTTAAGCATGACAGAATTGATGCTCTCTCTCACATAAACAAAGATAAGATAAATGTTGAAAGATGCCATGAAACATTATCAAATTGTTAAAGAATTACATCTTCTCTACTTGGTAAAAAAAATTAAAGAACAACTCACAACAACTAAAGAATACCAACCCGGTTCCCTGTTTGCAAAAAAAAAAAAAAAAAAAAAAAAAAAAATCAGATGATAAGGCTTATGTGTGCTAAGAACATACTCAAATCTGTTTTTACTTCTCCTACCAACTAAGCTTTTACTTGATTCCAAAATCCATTGGACCAACAGCATCCAGATAGTTTGCAAGTTATAGCTAGTTTGCATCACTAGTGCCACCTTGAAGTCAATGGGTGCAAACTGATGACTCCAATCTATTTTGCGGTGCCATCCATTAGCTAGAATTCGTTCACTTCAGGAGTCTAGAAATTACACTTCAGGAATTTATTCTCTTCGTGCTGGTCTTCTGAACACAATACGTAGGGTAGTGAAGTTATGAACTCAGCAGCTAGTTGTTTGTTCAAGTTTTTTGTTTTGTGCAATTAGTAGAAATCATCAAAAGACACTAACCTTGTCATTTGATCATTCCTGAGTTCTGTTTTTGGTCTTGATGGGCCCTCAAATTTAAGCAGCTTGGTGAACTGCAAAATAAATCAACTTACATAGATTTTTTGACTATTATTTTCCTGGTTCTTATGAAAGACAAAAGAGTTTGATTCTTTGCATAAGCTTCAGTGTATTTCACAATTCATCTCAAACACAATGGAGAGGAGTTGCAAAACATATGGATGTAAAATCACATGCATAAGTTAAAGCATGAAAACGGACCTGTGATGTCTTTAGTTCCAGTTCATCCCATTCCAAAGATGGATTACTGCCTTTTACAATCCCAGTCCCAGCATAGATCAATGCACCAAGACCCTAGAATCCAAAGAGGTCAGCACCAAAATTTTGCCATGGCATGAATACAGATTAGATGGATAGTAATAAAGATTTTCTCATAATTATGACTCATTTTTTTCAATTTTTAGGAAAGCTAGTAATGAGACTCATTCAAAATTGCAGCCAATGAGGAAATTACCTCACCTTTTCTACCAGCGCTGATCTGATGCCAACAGCAAACTCACTTTCTTCTCCTCCAAACCAACCAACAGGCCCAGCATACATCCCTCGATCAAATACTTCTGAACAACATATTTTAAAAATTACAGGTCTTCAAGTAAGTAGCAAACAAACCTTAATTACGAGAGTCAGGTATACTGACCCCAGAATAATCAGTTACAGCATGTCTTGCCGATTACAAGTGGGAGTTCTCTAGTGATGAGAAGAACAATGAAAGGATAATTGATTATAAATATACAGGTCTTGGTTCAGCAAATTGTTGCTATAGGTGGATTCATAACTGGTTAAAGTTCAGATTCTAGCTGCAGTTATTTCATTGGAACACTACTCCTTGAACCAGCATAGAAACTGTACTTTGATTTCAAGAAGAGAAAAATGTAGTAATGAACTTTACAAATTGTAAAGAGAACCAGATAATTTACAGTTCTCTCAGACAAAGACAACTCAACTATAATGTTGCAGATAGTTTAAGAAGGCAGCATGATACCAACTTCACGTACATAAATGGCATCTGCTGTATAGGAAACTCCCCTCTCCAACTCACCACTGCACCTTTTGATGGTCAACTTCATGTACATAAATGGTATCAAAGCACGGATCATGCATATTTGGGGTTTTTATCCATAATGACAGGTCTAAAATTTGATGCTATACCTTTTTATGGTCAAAATAATTTTGGCTTATGAAAAATAAAGATAAAAGTTTTGTTGTAGCGTGAAGGTTCTGTCAAGACAATTAAGGATATATATCCAGATGACATGACTTCGCCGAAATTGAAGAGATGGATGAGAAAGCTCATAGTACTATACAATTATCATTATCAAACAAGGTACTCGTGAGAAATCACAAATGAAGAGACAACGACAGGACTACGAAAGAAGTTAGAAAGCCTCTACATGAAGAAATCTCTAACAAAAAGATTGTATTTGAAGCAATATCTTTATATACTAAAGATGTGAGAAGATACGTCTATTTAAGAACACCTTGATGAATTCAACAAAATTGTTATAGATATGAAAAATCTTGATATTAAACTTGATAAGGAAGATGAAGTTCTTATTGTATTATGTTCATTACCTCGCTTCTTATGAGAATTTTGTTAATTCAATGTTGTATGGTAGAGAGTCCATAACTTTAGAAGATGTTAAGACCTCTTTAAATTCGGCTTAGATGAGACATAAGCTGAATAGTAAAACCATTAATAGTCAAGTCGAGGGTTTGTTAGTAAAGAAAAAACTGAAGGATAGAGAGGGTTATAAAGAAAGACTTATATTCTATTCTAAGTCTAGATCACTTCCAGATAAGAAGAACAATGCTAAATGCTACTACTCGTCACAAGAAAGGACATTACAAATCACATTGTCCTATCTTGAAGAAGGAGAAACCATAGAGTCAAAGTTTTGAGTCCGCTAATGTGGTGAAAGGTACCGATGTTGATGCCACTAAAAGTGCTCTTGTTGTATGTTCTCTAGATGATCATTCCGACCAAGCGTGGATTTTGGATATTGGTGCTTTTTATCATATATGTCCAAATAAAGAGTGGTTTACCACTTATGAACCCGTAAGTGGTAACTCTATTCCGATGATCAACATTTTAGCTTATATGATGACTAGGATTGGTACAATTCATATTAGGTGCTATAATCCGGTTATGAAGACTTTGATGAAAGTAAGACATATACTAGATTTGAAGAATCTAATTTCTTTAAGCTATCTAGATTCGAGAGGTTATGGTTACTCCGGTAAAAGTGAAATTCTTAAGGTTTTTAATAGTTCTTTGGTTGTGATGAAAGCCACTCAAATCAATCGTCTCTATGTGTTATAAGGTAGTACCATAACGAGCTCGGCGTATGTGATTACTTCCTACTTTGAAAAAGAAATGATTCAATTGTGGCATATGTGACTAGACCACATGAGTGAGAGAGGCATAACTATTCTAAGATAAACATGATTTGTTTTGTGGTAATAAAATGATATCACTTGATTTCTATGACTATTGTGTCTAAAAAAGCACACTAGAGTGCAATTCTCTATTGGCACTCATTCTACAAAGAACACACTTGATTACTTTCATTCAAATTTGTAAAGGCCAACTCGGGTTCTATCTAAAGGTGGTGCACTTTATTTTCTAACGTTTATTGATGATTACTCTTGAAAGGTTTCGGTTTATTTTTTTCAAACATAAGAGTGATATTTTCAAAACTTTCAAGCAATAAAAAGTTCTAGTAGAGAATCAAACAAAGAAGAAGATTAAACATCTTCGAACAAATAATGGCTTCAAATTCTATAGTGAAAATTTTAATGAATTTTGTATAAACTCTAGGATTATCTAGCATTGCACGATTAGACACACTCCTCGGCAAAATGGGATGGCAGAGCATATAAACGGGGCTTTACTAGAGAGAACTAGATGTATGCTCTCTAATTTAGGTTTGGAAAAAGATTTCTAGGCTGAACCAGTAAACACAACTTGTTATGTTGTCAATCGTTCTCCCCTTACTACCATTAATTGTAAAACTCCAAACGAGGTACGATAAGTTAAGCCTAGTGATTGTTCAAATTTAAAATATTTGGATGCCGTGCTTATTATCATGTTAAGGATGGTAAACTTAAACCTAAAACAAAGAAATGCATATTTGTTGACTATGCTCGATAGGGTGAAAGGTTATCTTTTATGGTTCCTTGAACCCAATTCGTCTAAATTCATTATTAGTAGAGATGTTACTTTTAATGAAAGATATATGCATGATCAAGTACAAGTTGTTTGTAAGTCTATAAGAAAGAGTAAGAAAGTCGTAGATAAGGTGGAGCTTCAAGAGAAATTTAAAAGAGAGACTCCTCAATAACCATTCCCGGATGTATCTCCTACGGTTGCGGACGTGCAACAAGATTCGATATGAATAAAGATGCCACAAAAGTTGAACAACCTTATGTAATAGCAACTAGTCGAGAGAGGAGCGATAAGACCTCTCCAAAAATATGTTTATGTTGATCTAATAGCCTATGCCCTCACTAGAGCTAAGACAATAGGTATTCGAAGCCTCCTACCTATACGAGAGGCAATGATTTGTGAAGAGTCTAGTCAATGGGTCATTGCAATGACAAAAGAACTTCAATCATTCCGCAAAAATCAAACTTGAGATTTAATGAAATTACCTAAATATAACAATCATTGGATGCAAATGTGTCTACAAGAAGAAGGCAATAAGTAAAGTGGTTGATGCAAGATTAGCGGCTAAAGTTTATAGTTAAAAGGAATGAATTGATTACAATTAAGTATTTTCTCCGGTTGTGAAACATACCACTTTTCGTGTGTTGCTTGTTATGGTAACTCAATTTGATTTGGAGCTCAAACAACTTAATGTGAAAACAGTTTTTTTGCATAGAGAGTTTGAAGAGACTATTTATATGTTTCAACCGAGAGGGATACTTTGTGAACGAGAAAGAAGATCATGTTTGCAAATTGCAGAAATTTTTTTATGACCTAAAACAATCACCAAGGCAATTGTACAAGAGGTTTGATAATTTTATGCTTAATTATGGTTATTCAAGATCTACTTATAATAATTGTATATATTTCGGGCAATTAATAGATAGATCATTTGTATATCTCTTATTGTATGTGGATTACATGCTTATTCCCGCCAAGAGTAAATCAAAAATTCAAAAGCTAAAGAAACAACTCGATGATGAGTTTCGGATGAAAAATCTTTGAGCATCGAAGATCTTAGATATGGAGATTCATAGAGATAGAAAGGCTAAAAAATTAATATCTTTCACAGGTAAGGATATATTGAGAAAGTGCTAAAGCGCTTTAGGATGCGAAGGCCAAACTCGCCATTACTCCATTGGTCGCTCACTTCAAACTTTCGACTTCTTAGTCATCTCGGAATGAAGAAAAAGAGAGAGAAATGTCACGAGTTCTATATTCTAGTGCGGTAGATAGCATAATATATGCTATGATCTATACTCATCCATACATTACCTAGGCGAATCAATGTTGTTAGTTAATATATGGTTCACCTAGAAAAGGTACATTAGCAAGCGATAAAGTGGATTCTCAAGTATCTCAAAAGCACCATAGACTTGGGTTCAAGCTTTGAAAAGGGCAATACTTCTGAAATTTCTATTGTACGCTTTGTGAATTCCGACTATGCAAGTGATCTCGATAAAGGGAGATTTTTTTATAGAGTATATTTTTACACTTTCGAGTTTCACTATAAGTTGAAGATCAACATACAATATGACAATTGCTTTGTCGACTACTAAGGCAAAATATATAATAACGAGTTGAGACCGTAAAGGAGGCTATTTGGTTGAGAAATCTTATGGAGGAACTTGGTCTTCAACAAAAAAAAAATTCAATTGTCTTTTATGACAACTAGAGTATTATACACTTAATCAAAAATCAAGCACATCATGAGAGGCCTAAGCATATTAATATCAAGTATCATTTTATCCGTGAAGCAATTTTTGACAAGATTACGATGAAAAAAGTTTAAATTCAAGATAATCCAGCTGATGTGTTAACTAAATCTGTTACAGCAAACTAGTTCATGCATTATTTAGACTCGAGTGGTGCTAAGAAAATCAAAGTATGCTACTAAAAAGAGAGAGGCTCAACTCGTGTGAAGGAGAGACGACCGTGTGAGTTTTCTTCTCTCAATCATGCCTCATTCTTCTCGCTCATGTGAAGCACTTGTCTTATGCTCGTATGTTAAGCATTTGTCTTACGCTCATGCCTAATGCTTATGCCCATGTGTCACTTCTATCTTATGTTCATGCTTCATACCACTACCCGTGTGGTGTTTTGAATAGGAGAGTAAAGCACAAGCATGTCACTTTGTTGCTTTGGCCATGTGGTTTGCCTATGTCCATGTGCCTTAAGCATTTGTTTGTGCATGTTGAGGTTTTGTTAGAGAGAAGGAATTTTGCTAGTCCTAATATTGAAATCAATATTCTCTCTCTTCATATCTCTTACTTCTTATATCGAGTTAGCTCATTCACGTAAGCTTATAAGTATGTTTTGAGAAATTATTTGACATTCTTAAAAGTTTACGGAATTCAAAACAAGGCGGAGATTTGTTGAATTATGGCTTGAATTTTATGGACCAATAATATATTGAGTCCATTAGGCTTGTTCTTTATAGATATAAGGTATTTAAACTTCTTTATGTCTCTCGTTTAGAAAATAGTGAAAGAGGCTTTGTATTGACCCTCTAGGATTCTTGTATTCTCCTCGCTATCAAGCTAATAAAAACTTCCCTCTAATCCATGAAGCAGTGCAATTTGTCGAACTATATAAATTCCGTGTGTTGATAATTTGTTTAGCTTTATCTTATGATTATTGTCTGTCATTACTTGCCTTATTTTCGTTGTTTGTCATAACGACCTCCTTAGTAGACATCAGTATTGGTAGACTTAAGGAAATAGTTTGAGAACACGTTGGACTTTCTTTCTTTTTTAAGAATAGCATCACCTTATACAAAATGGACTACTCAAAAGCTCATCAGGAATGAATTGCCAAAATCTGAGTTTTCCTTTTTGCATATGTATATAAAATATGAGAGAGAAACAACAATAGGTATGGCACATGCATATACCAGTTTCTGCAATTAAATGTCTAGCCTCTTCTGCTGGAAATCCACAAACTGCTGGAGTAGGGTGAAGAGAAGACAAGATATCAAACTGGAAAACAAATATACCAAGGATTTTTTATATAAGCAAAATAATAAAGATAAGAAACAGAGGCAGGAGCCATAAATACCTTCAGAAGTTTTTTTAAGAACACATTTCATATTAATGAAAACATCAAGTTCAGAAACCAAGTAGCAATTCGTGCAACATAAAGTTAAACATCAATCAAATATATTTCCTAATCCAAGACAGAGATAGAAGTATCGTATTCGTACCTCATCATCTTCACTTCTTAACTTGCCTGCCAATTGAGCATACAAGTGTTGAACTCTAGGGAATTTTCTTACCGCTTTGTTTGGTTCAACAACTATCTTGTCACATACAGCCTGCAAAGTTGAATAGGGTAAAAGTTACAGGATTTTCTTTTAATTTCATTTTGATAAGAATTTTAAGAATTGTGAAGACCATACTCCAGGTATGTAGTTGGAAATTTTGAACAAAGCATAGCAGCAGCATGTCTTCATATTGATCTCTCTACTAGAGACGTTGTCAGTAAGACTTGAATACAGTAAAGAACTCTCCCTTTATACTACAATTTAACATTTATTATTTTGATTCAATAAAGCTAGAGCATGTAACATTTATATAATAACAATTTCACTTTGATACTTCTACTTTTCAAAATTAATTTCCTCTTAAGCCTTTTCCCTATTGGAACATACAACTTTCTAATGCATCTCATTTACAGCAGTAGCTGCCTAGTCAAGGGTGACACTAATAATCGGAACAGCCTTTATCAACTATAGAAATCAGCACAAAATTTCACTATATTGCTTCTCTCAATACTGTTCTGGCAAAGTTCCAACCACTTTCTTTAAAATTACAAGGCATAACAAAAGCACTTCCAATTTCTACAACTGTCAAATGTTAAGATACCCACATTGATTATTCATAGCAGGGAAGAACATACAACTTTCTAATGCATCTCATTTACAGCAATAATAGCCTAGTCAAGGGTGACACTAATAATCGGAACAGCCTTTATCAACTATAGAAATCAGCAAAAAATTTCACTATATTGCTTCTCTCAATACTGTCCTGGCAAAGTTCTAACCACTTTCTTTAAAATTACAAGGCCTAACAAAAGCACTTCCAATTTTAACTCACTTATACGAGGGAAGTCACTTGTATAGTGAAACAATAATCAAAGTTCTTCTATCATTCACACTACTTCTATGTTCTCCTTCTCAAATTATTTCCATCATATAGTGCCTTGGTGGCAACCCTCAAGGACTAGCAGACTCAATAAGCTTGATAGTAAAATAAAATGTTCTCCTTATGCAAGGCTGTAATGCTAAATTTTAACTCACTTATACGAGGGAAGTCACTTGTATAGTGAAACAATAATCAAAGTTCTTCTATCATTCACACTACTTCTATGTTCTCCTTCTCAAATTATTTCCATCATATAGTGCCTTGGTGGCAACCCTCAAGGACTAGCAGACTCAATAAGCTTGATAGTAAAATAAAATGTTCTCCTTATGCAAGGTTGTAATGCTAAATCTTTGGTGCCACAAAATAAGCACAAAAAACATAAGAAAGATACAAGAGAGGATTAAGTTATAGATAAGCTGCAATGTTCCAATATCATAAACATAAAATGTTAGTGCTAAGAAACCTACAATGTAAACTTACCTCTAATTTTTGTCTTATGTTATCTCGTACAATTGTAAACTCCAGATGGTCCTTGCGACTGCAAAATGAATGATAAAACATCACAACTTACAATTTGCTTGCTAGTTGACATCATAAACATTAGAAATAATGTACAATATAATGATGGAACCATTTTAATAACAGCCAAGTATAATTACCTGGAAAGTAGATCAAGTTGTATTTGAAGATCTAGAGCCATCGATTCACCTCTAGCACGGGTTCCAGCCATAGCCTCACTACTTATTCCAAGTCGATTTCTGTGAAATAGTTGCTCTGGCTATTCATAAAGTTTGTACAAGTCAAAACTAGAAGAAAGCCACTTCATCTAATAATTTGTTATGAAAAATTATAACTTAAAAGAACGTAAAAACTGATATGAATCAAGAAATATTGGTTGTTTTGTTGTACCTCTACAAGTATTACAACTTATATATATATATATATATATAAACTAGGAAACTACAAATCTTACTAAAGTCCTGGATTAGAGCCTTAGATTTTATAGCCTAAGATACACCTAGAATATTCTAAATAGAATATTGATTATTCCCATACTCTCCCTCAAGCTAGCTTATAAATGTCTTCCATTGCAGCTTGCTTACTAGAAAATCAAATTGTTTTTTCAATAGACCTTTGGTGATTATATCAACCACTTGTTAAGAAGTAGGAATATAAATAATGCAAATTAGCCCACTTTCAAGGTTCTCCTTGATAAAGTGCTTATCAACTTCAATATGTTTAGTCCGATCATGAAGAATCGGATTAAGAACAATTAAAATGGCAACTTTGTTATCGCAATGAATTTTCATAGAAAGTGATGCAGGAAGCTTCAAATCTTCTAGCAATTTCTTAATTAACATAGCTTCACAAATCCTTTGTGTAAGAGATCTAAATTCTGCTTCAGCACTAATTCATGCCACAACATTTTGCTTTTAACTTCTCCAAGTAACTAAATTTCCTCCATCAAATATATAATATCGCTTATTTGTCACACTACCAGCCCAGATCAGCATCGGTATAGACTTTTACCTAAAAGTCATCATATTTTTTAAATATCAAACCCTTTCCTTGAGACCCTTTTAGTTACTACCCTTTTAGGTACTTTAGTATCCTATAGGCAGCTTCAAAGTGTTCACGACCTAGTGCATGCATGAACTGGATTATCATGCTTACCGCAAATGCTATATCAAGGCGAGAGTGTGATAGATATATAAGTCTGCCCAACAAGTGCTGAAATTTCTCCTTTTCAGTCACATCTTCAACTTTAGCAGGATTTAGTTTGAGATTAACCTCAATTGGAGTCTCAATAACCTTGCAACCTAAAATAGTGGTTTCATTCAGTAAATCAAGGATATATTTCCTTTGATTTACCAAGATTCCTTCACGTGATCTTGCAAATTCCATGCCAAGAAAATATTTCGGTGTTCCTAGCTCTTTAATCTCAAAGTCTTCAACTAGTCTCTTTTTCAATCTTGCTAATTCATCAAGATCATGACTCGTTAGTATCATGTCATCAACATATACAATGAGCTAGAATTGTTATTTTCCCTTTATCGAGTGTGTTTATAAAACAGAGTATGATCTACCTAACATTGATGATACCCATATCCTTCTAAAGTTTTCCCAAATCATGCCCTTGGAGACTATTTGAGGCCATATAATGACTTCTTAAGTCCGCAAACTTTGTTTTGACCAAGAAACTCTTCAAAACTAAGAAGCGGACTCATAAAGACTTCCCCTTTCAAATCACCATTCGAGAAAGCATTTTTCACATCTAATTGGTATAAGACCCAATTGAAATTAACTACAAGAGACAATAAAACACATATAGAGTTAATTTTGCTACTAAAGCAAAGGTTTCCTAGTAATCAACACCATATGTTTGAGTAAATCATTTAGCCACAAATATAGCCTTATATCTCTCTACACTACCATCTGTCTTGCATTTACACCTAACTCGTTTTTTGACATCTAGGTAGCTCTATAATCTCTCATGTCTCATTTTTCTTTAGTGCATTTATTTCCTCCATCACAGCTATTCTCCAATTTAGATCACCAAGTGCTTCCTAAATATTTCTTGGAACAAACACATTAGACATTTTTGAAATAAATGCCCCGTGGTTTTAAAAGAGACAGTCATAAGACATTTTGCAATTGAGTGTTTACTCGCAAGAACAAGTTCCTTTTCTAAGTGCAATAAGAACATTAAGATCACAATATTCATGAGAAACCGCATTGGGTAAAACAAGAGGTGAAATAGGAGGATTAGCATTTTGCAAAGTGTCTTGAGTACCTAAATCCGAGGTAATGGACTCGACTAGGTGCTGAAGGAACAAGTAGGTTCTTTACTTTTTTGATATTTCTTTCGCTTGCATAAACAATGATCTCGGGTTCCTAATCCTTGGGATTATTTTGCAGTATTTCTCTCCCAATCAAAGATTCAACAATTTTTGGCAAAACAGTATTTTTTATCAATAGAAATTGATTTGTCATTTTTGGAAACATTAGGTGTAGATGCCATCGTTTAAGGTAAAGTAGTAAAAATAAGTATGTTGTCCCAACTATTTTCTTCCTCTAAACGCTCCCTCCGAAGAAAATTATTTTGAAAATAAGATTGATTTTCAAGAAGTAAAACATCCATAGTAACTAGAACTTTTTGGATCTTTGGATGAACACACTTATACCCTGTTTGATTTGATGCATAGCCAATAAAAATATATTTTTTAGCCTTTGGATCAAGCTTGGACCGATCCTTATTCGGTAAATGAACATAAGTCTGTGCACTCAAATATTTTAAAGGGTAAATTGGATGAAATTCAATTTTCAAGGAAGAAATTTTTAAAGCACTCAAGAGGAGTAATGAATTTAAGTACATGGATAGGCATTCTGTTTATCAAATATGTTGTAGTTAAAATTGCTTATCCTCAAAGTACTTGGGGACATGTATAGAAAACATAAGAGACCGGACCACTTTCAATAAGTGTCAATTTTTTCACCTGACTATACTATTTTATTGAGATGAATGAACACAAATTGAATGATTATGAATGCCCTTATCTCTAAAAACATTTTCAAGAATTTCATTGAAATACTTTCAATGATGGTAAATATACCCAACACAACCTAGTATGATTATCAATGAATGTTACAAATTATGTTTTGCCGTAATAAGTAGGAATTCGTGAAAAACCCGAAACATCACTATAAATTAAACAAAATGATCGTGAAGGCTGATAAGGTTTTGAAGAATAAATATTTTTATTGACTTTTTGACAAGATGCAATGTTCACGATGAAAAAAAGAACAATCCGAGCCTTTAAATAAGGTAGGAAACATTTTTTTAAGATAGAGAAAACAAGGATGCTCTAGTCAATAGTGCAAAGCATTATTTTTACTTTAACGAGGAAAGAACTTATACTACTTAGTCCTTGAGGTCTTTTATCTTTGGAGACTTTGTCTTCAAAATAGAAAAGATCATCGATCATTATAGCATCGCCAATCTTCTTTCTCAAATTCTAATCCTAAAACACACTATAAGAATCAAAAAAAGTGACACTACAATTATAATCTTTTGATAATTTGTCGACGTACGTAAGATTGCATGCAAGTTTTGATACATGTAGAACAGATTTAATGGATAAAGCATCTGAAAAAATAATCGAACATTTGCCGACAATATGTGAGTAAGACCCATCTGCTATTTGAATTTTTTCATAACCCGAAAAAGGAACATAAGTATGACATAAATTTGAAAAACTTGTCATATGGTCGGATGCTCCAGAATCAATGATCTAATGAGCAGATTGTGATAAAGAGTAACACACTAAGGCATTTAAATCACTACCTGTTTGTGCCAAAAAAGCATTAGCGATACCGCGATAATCCGGAATTGTATTTGAGCAGTTTTAGGATATGATCCACCTATTGTGGATCGAAAGGAACCGCCTCGGCTTCATTGGCGGTAGGGTTTCGTTTGAATTTTCCTTCATATTTACCTTTCCAATTTTCTCGTTTCTTATGGAGCTTCTAGCAAGTTTCCCGGTATCCCTTGGCTTATTGCAATAATCACACAAAGCATGGTTTTTGTCATCGATTTCATTGTTGTCATTCTACCCGTATGGGTGTTTATGGTTGCCAATGTAGAGTTTTTTGTTGTGTCGCTTGAAGTTTTTTTCTAGCATCACCGGCAGGTGACTCTCTTCTCGACGAACCTTAACAAAAAAATTCACCAATATATGGAAGGGGTTATCTCCCAATTATTCGTCCCCGACCTCATCAAACTCAACATTGAGTCCCATGAGGAATTTGAAAATTCGGTCATCCTTTACCTTCTTCTTGTAATGGTTACAATCCTCGGAAGATTTCCATTCATAAGAATTGAATAAGTTCGAGTCTTGCCATAGACGTTTAGAGAATTGAAATACTTCGTAACATTGTCCTCACCTTGGTGAATTTCCCCAAGTTTCAACATTATTTCATATACTCGGGCTGATTTCCCAAGTCGAATACATTAAATTAACATTATTCCAAAGTTCCTTTGTTGTGTGATAACATATGTAATTGGAACCGATATCCTCCTCCATAGAGTTCACTAACCATGGAGTTATCCGCATCCCAAACTGGATAGGCCGGATCATCCAAGTTTGGCTCCTTCTTCTCACCAATTGAATACTCAATCTTTCCCTTTCCTTGGATGTACATGCGCATAGATTGAGACCAATGTAAGAAATTGTCTCCATTCAGTTTGATAGTGGTAATCTGAATTGAATGAGAATCTAAAGATAAGTCATGAGGATTTTGTCTTATTGATGGGTTTTGGAAGAGGTAGATAGATGAACAACAGCAGGTGTAGAATTTGATGTAATTTCAAACATTGTAGTAAAGAAGAAAAAAATTAGAGTGGTTGACGGCTAGGGTATCTTGTTTAGAAAAAATAGAACTGCTTTGATACCGTAAAAACTGATATGAATCCGAAAATATTGGTTGTATTGTCATACCTTTACAGGTATTATAACTTATATATATATAACTACATATAGCATCTAAACTCGGAAATTATGGCTCTAAATCTTCCTAAACTCCTTGATTAGTACCTTAGATTTTACAGCCTAGGATAAACCCAGAATATTCTAAATAGAATATTTCTTATTCCGACAGAATGACTAAGCAATTTAATCAATTAAAGTAGAGGAAGCAAGAGTCAAAACCATAGCTCCTAAATACATTTTGATGAAACTTAAAACTTTCTCATAAGGGGTTTTCACTTTTATTTTTTTGTGTGTTAATGGATTGCCTCTTTCATCTAGAATCCTGTTAATCAGATGAGAAAAATTAAACCTTATGTAACTGTTATGTAACAGTATTAGCAGGAAGGACTTTTTAAAGTGAAACTGACAGGCAGGACTCACTTACGAGGGGCACAGGCAACCCAGGACTCACTTAAATCTTAGAATTTTTTTTATTTTTTATTTTTTAAAATAGGAAGACTTCTGCCAATAACTCAGAAGGGGGTATGTGGTCTGCCTTAAATTTACATGGAAAAAATAAATTATATGCTCTGTCCAATGGAGATGGAAGTGGGAAAAGAGGGGAGAAGCTATGTAAAACACCTCTCCAGGTCAGTTTGAACATTAATCCAGCTACTTTCCATCTTTGAACTATTAAGTGGAAAAATCAATTTCATCAGGAGATATCTTGAAAAGTGTGATTTCTAGAGGCAAAGCAGGGGACTTATGAAAAGCAAATCACACATGCAGTAAAGAGAGAGCATAAAAAACTGTGTAAGCTTATGTACTATACAAAGGTTCATGGTCACACTTACCGTGTTCCCAATAAATGCTGGTGCATTGGGTGGCTGAAGACAAAATTGATAAGCATTTTCTCCTTCAACCTGTGAGTACATGATTTCAAGCATTCTAGTTACTCCTTTTTAGAATGCATCATAGAGTGATGATTCACTAATTGAACAGTATAAGGATAGAGAGTACCTGTAGACAAGCCAGCCATGCTATAGGGTCAACATCATTAGCAATTACAACTTTGCTGCTACGCGCAAGTACAACCTGATTTCGAAGTCAAAATTCATCGATCAAAGAACAACATAAAATTCAAGAGGTCCAATAATACTATATATAGCTGGTCAATGGCTGAAAAAAGGCTGAATATATGTATCAGGTTGATTCAAATACCTTAGTAAGTGGCGAGCTGCTTCCGTTGATGATTTGCAAAGCTCTCTCAACAGCAAGATCCCAATACATCTTGTTGGGAATGTGATTATTGCTTAGAATGAATGATCTAGTAACTTCTTTATTTAACTTCACCACAGTTGAAGAAATCTGCATTGTTTAAGACAGCATGGTTCACTAATTAAATTTAAATATTAGCATCTAGTTGAAGAATGAAGAAATTAAGCACGAAAATGCATTGTAATGGTAGCAGCACAGACCTGAGTCATAGTAGCCTGAGCTGCATCAACAGCCTGTTCCCATGTCCATGAAAGTGCATTATCCCATGCAATAGTTGTGGCAAGCATTGAACGTCCTTCAAGCTCATCCAACTCAACCTGTCATTTTCAATATCCAGCACCAGGTCTTGTAACTACTGACAAAAAAAAAAAAAAAAAAAGAACAAGGGAAAACATATATAATGACGGAAGAAAACAATTGGTGTACCTGAGGGATGATGAAGTAAAACGAGCCAAAAGCTTCCCATTCAGATGATATTTTAGAGCTTGCATCAAAGCGTATAGCCCCATAAGCACGAATGAATGGGCATTTGGCAGAGAGGAACCTTCATTTTTATGAATACAGAATAATTAATTAGCACTCAAGTTTTCAACATTCTTCTTACTGTACAACTTTATACTTGCATGCCTTACCTCTTTATGGACTTCCAGTCTTTGTAACAGAATGGATGGACATTCCTGAAGAGGACAGCACCCCCGACACCAGCTACGCTCAGCAGGTCGTTGGATATTGCGCTATTTTGATACCCATTTCCATTGATCAACCCTCTGAAACTGAAAACATCACTCTCGTCTTTTCTCTGTCTTCGACCAGAGAAGAAACAACGTGGAACTATATGGTGCTGTGATTGTGCATGCAGCCAATCAATTGCTTCAATTTGTTGTTGGATTGGCACCTTTTCAACCACGCGTTATAGGATCATTAGCTCTACCAAATACTTCTAATCATCTTCTAAGTAAAATAGTAATAGCTTTGTTTCCAAAACTAATGGAGTCAAAATCATAAAAAAGAAAAAAGAGCCCCATCATATTAGTACTCTTTTTTTCTATTTCCATTTTTTTTCTCTCTTTCATTTAAAGTGATGTGCTATTTATTATAAAGAGAAAGAGGGTGGAATAATATCTCCTAGAAAAAACGAGGTTTGTTTCCTTTTTTTATTTTTTATTTGTTGTTTCAATCTAATAAGAGTTAATGACCTCATGTTAATTAAGTCATTCCCTTTCAAATTTTTCATTTTTTTTATGATAAACTTTTCTTTTCTTTTCTTTTCTTTTTTAATTAACTACAAGTTTAGCATACGGTTAAATGAATCAATCTTTTCATTAACTTACTTTTAAATCATTTGAGAACTAATTCTTGAAAAAAAAAAAATCGAAATAGACCTCATGTAATTTTAATCCATTTGAAATTGAATTATTTTGTTAGATTTTATAAAATTATGTCCATTACTTAACAGTTAAAAATGACTAATTGTCTTTTTATTATTAGAATCTATACCAAATAGAGTTACTATGCGACCAAGTTTTAATAGTGGAAGGACGATTGATTGTTGATATTTAACCATTAATTAATTAATGGACAAAATCTAATAAAAAAATCAATTTTAAAAGAACTAAAATTCCAGAAGTCAATTCTGACTTTTTTTAATTCAAAAATCAATTCTTAAATTACTTAAAATACGAAAAAGATTTAACCATTTACTCATATGTTCTCTTATGTATTAGTTTTCCAACTAGTTGATGTTATCTATGAAATACATTAGCCCGGAAAGTTCTGACCACACATATACAAACAAACACATGAATTTTATTTTATTTTATTTTTTTATCCTCCATCATTTTCATTAAATCTTAGAAGAAGATGTAAGAATATAATATTTTTTGAACAAAAATTTCTCACCTACTTAGAAAAAGAAAATTTTCTACTTCCATTAGGTGACATTTTTTTTTAACTCTTTGCTACAATAATTTTAAATACCATAGAGACACAACGCGCTCTAGCATAGTTGTGTTAACCTTTTTTATTGTTGAGGCAAAATTCAAAAATATCCTCCAGCTCTATAAATAATTTTACTTTTACTACTAAAGAATTCATTATAATATTCAATCATTGACGGCTACTACAATAACAACACGACTTGCATTTTTAGTCACGCACTTTATAAAAAATATTTCTGCTCAAAAAAACCAATCAAAATGTTTTTTACCTATAAAATCTTCAATTAAATTTTTTTATGCCAGGAACCTAAAATCTAACACTCACTTAACATTATTAATTCATTTGAATTTTTGGTATAAAAAAATTATTTTAGAAAAAAAAACTTTCAACAATTTGGATAGAAGTTATGTTACAAACTTTTGAATGCAATTATATTTATAATATTTACATTGTATGTATAATTATATTATATTACATAATTTTTTTTTCAAACAAACACTTTTATCTATAATTACAGTTAAATCTCTGCAATATGGTTGGTCTAAAAGAACATAAAAAATTACATTTTTGAAATTTAAAGTCTGTGATATAGAGAGTAAAATATTTTTTATACAAAATTCATTACATATTTTTGTATTTATAAAACTCCAAAATAAAAAATTTCATACCAAAAAACTCATTTATGTTAATGGGGGGTTTGTGGGTAGACAGCTACAAAAGTATTTTGATAGATTTTTTTTTTTTTTTTTTTTTGCCTCGAGTACTAAGTATATGATTGACTAACAAATATATTTTTATATTCATGAACTTTCCACTTGTGAAATTCAGAGTACTGTTCCCAGACGGGTAAACTCATGCAATATATATATATATATACACAGGATAAGAAGGGATTGCAGCCAAGTGAATGACAACCAACCACGTGGCATATGAATATCTCCATTAACGTGGGTATTTCCGATAAAGAAACTGCTGCTGCTGCTACCGTCTACTGATATATATGTATATATTATGGTAATTAATTCTTAAGAGATGTGTAGTAAGGATGTTATTTATCACCTGGAGACGTAGAATTCCGGAATTGAAACGAGGTGGATTGGCTTTCAAATCAGAAATAGCCAAATTGAGGGCGTGGGTTGCCAAAACAGGAGATACAACTGCTGGAAATGTACGAGTTTCAATGCTGCCAACAGGGAGGACTGATCCGTCTCTGGGGTTTCCTTGGCAACCGTTCATGGATACAACTACTGAACATGAGTTGTAATAATAATATCTCTGCCCATTCCGATCAATCATCATAATATGTCAACTTAATTAGCACAAAATCATGTTTAGCTAATTAGCAAGAAATAAGTAATGTGGGTGGGTGGCTTACATGAAGAGATTGAGATTGAGATTGAGATTGCCTTCTGCAGGAAACTGTACAGGCTGCTGCAGTGCTGTGTTTAATTGATACTAAACCCATGAAATGGGCGGGGCTGTGCCTTGCTGAAGTAGCAGATGGCATGAGAGGGAGAATGGGGAGAGAGAGCGCTTTCCTACTTAGAACCCAACTTGTGACGGGCTTTCAACCTTTTATTTGATCATCAATGATTGGATGTTTATATATATATATATATATATAACCTCTGTAGCAAGGGGAATAAATTATAAATTAGTTCCTTTTGTTTTAAAATTTAACAATTAGTCCCTTAACTTGTGTGTACCATTATTAATTTAATATTATTTTGTACAAAATAACACCTATCAAATAAAAATAAAAAAACTAACGGTTCAAATTGATTTTCATTTCTCATAACCATTTCATAAAAAGAACATTATTGAAAGGAAGAACAAAATTGGCATGCATATATGAGCTGTGCGATATACAAAAACATTGGGGGGTTTGTACTTAATTTTGGTTTTGCCACGATTGGGCCATTACAACATAAGCCCCTCCTTCCTCGTGAAATTAACAATTACAGACAAGAGACATCAACCAGTAAAGAATGCTAAAAACTAAAAAGAATAGCAGGCACAGCTTAAAAATGGAGTTCCCCCCACATGCAAAATATCATTCCTCGGAATCCAATCCAACAATACGCTGTTTCCTCCGATCAAAAACAGCTTTAAAGGACTCGTGCTCCACACGAAGTCGCTCTTGGAATATGCTATGCCTTGATTTCCCAATGCTTGAGGTTGAAGTTGGCCGCTCCTCTTCCGATAATGGGTTGGACTTCTGCAGGGGTTAAAAAATAAATAAATTCAACAAGTCGGCTGGGCTCCATGTTAAATGCAGCAATAAAAGCCTTGCACAGCATTCATTATTATGCGAGCACTACTTTGCACAAGGGCATGTGCACTTTTGTTAATCATTTTATTGTGTTTCAAAATATCGATCATTAATCAGAAGTAGTCTCCTTTAATAACGGAATCATCTAATATTGAAGAACCAGCCGAGATAGCTGCATCACTTACCAAGTTGTATCCAGCACCTGGGCCAATAACTAAAGACAACATATTTCCTTTCTTTGCTGCACCTATAGAAAACCCAGTATCCCCAACCTGGACAATGACAATAACTTTCAAGCAGAGCATTAATTCTTCATGTGGTGGGGTTTCAAGTCATTCACTGCAGCACTCGCTTAATCATCAGAACAAAGGCATACACAAATATTAAGATATTGATAGTGTCCCCAACATAGAGCCATGTTGTGTGGACTCCTCTCAGATATTTTCTTCAAAGTAAAGCAATACATTGTGGTTCTATTACAAATATTTCGTACATGCCCAGCCAGTTCCAGAAGGGCCATACTAAGTACTGTAATGAGGTTGTAACGCTTACAGACCCTCAACACTTTCTACTAACTGCTTTTCTTGCAAGGTTTTACAAAAAGAAAGAATAAGACAAGCCATCTATCCTCCTACAAGGCAAGGCAAGCCACAAGCTTCAAGTAGACTAAACCTTACCAATGTAAATACAAAAGCATAATTAAAAAAAAAATTAAACAAGCAATTTTTTTTGGCTTACACATAGTACTTCACCATAGAAGAATATCAATATATTATGAAATCGTTTCGGATGCCTTACACCTACCAACATAACTGACAATAACAAAAGGCAAATGTGAAACTGCAAATATGCAAGCACATCACATGCGGAGTGCACATATAATGATAGTATAATAAGTGCACATAAAGCAAGAAACCAAAAATGACGGAAAGAAAATACGCTTATTACATTTTTATCCTATAAATGAGATAAACTTCAGATGCCTAGAAAAAAGCCAGTCAGTTACATTTTAAGTACCTAACAAGAAAGGAAGTCCTGCTTTTCAATCATTTTTCACCAATGACTGCCAAAAGCAGACAGATGTCTTCTATGGTGTCTTCTATCCAAAAACCTTGTACACATGCATGTGGAGATTAAAGGCAAGGAAATTGCAGTAAAGAGATGTGCTTAATCTTGTGAAACTTATGCTTTACAAGAGTTCGGCTCAAAGATTGACACTTTAAGTGATTTCATCACTGCCTCACATTAAGAATGGTATATTGTTCTTCTTTGTAGATGCACTTTAACTCTATACACTACTCGTATATGGCAGCATAGTTGAGTTTGTAATCTTTTTTCATTTTATTCATTGAAACCAAACGATAATGGGATGCTTACTGTTTCAAGACAATGTAATGCAATTTTTACTTGAGAGTTTCAATCATTTTATCTTAAAGAGTCACTAAGAAGTTTGACATGTAATTTGTTTGATGGATACAGACAAGAATAATGAAAGAACTTTAGAATAGGATTTGCATGAGAACTTACTATAACAAAACAAAAGAAGCATGTGTTATTGTTACCTGGTCACTCCAATGCACTGATTTTCGTTGCTTTCGATATGCTAACCCAGAAAGAGCATTATTAGCTCTCTTGCCTTCAGATCCTTGTGTATCATCTTCATCTAAATCATCCGACCATTTACTTTTACCCAACTCTTTCAATCCTGAAAGATGGTTCTCTTCGGCATCCCATCTTTTAGCATCTTTTGAAGGAACTAAAGTTTAAAATGATGAGTAAATAGAGGAATCTAACAAAGTTATAAGCAAAAGTTTGTCTCTCAGTGGACTGAAGAAACATAACAGGAGTCTATGACCATTTAACTAATAAATCACAGAAAAGTGACAATAGGTTGTGATACGAAAGTGGAGATGTTATTCAAATATGATATTCATCACATGCAAACTGCCAAAGACTAAAATCCTCACAATCCAGATGGCCATTTAGATCACATTCATTGTACACAGCATTCGTGCAAACACACTCATTAACTATATTACAACTTATTTGCATTCCCCCAAGAAGAAATTCTGCAAAATCATTTACAAAAAAATGAGCCATCTGTCAGAAACTACTGATCTTTAGCTAAGTTGAGGAATTCATGCACATGGCCATTCTGGACATTGACAACAAATATAAGCCACAGTTTCAGCTAAATGTATGAAGCATAAAGGAATGCTAAACCTTGGCAAATCACAAATTTCAGAGAGGAGTTCAGCTACTGATTCAGTAGGGAATTTCTACGGGAAAGCAGTAAAGTTTGGAGTAAATAATATAGATGTCTCTCCTTTTTGAAAACATATTGTTTTCTACCTTGCCTACCATTGATATTATTTCATTAATTTAAGCTTTGGCATTTCAAGAACTTGTGACATTTTTAGTGCCATTATAAATTTGTCCTTCTGTTAATTTATTGTTAGCTATTAAGGTGTCAAGATTTTAAGTAATGAAAAACAGTCAATTCTGGTCAGCCAGTCAGGGGACTAAACAATAGGATTTCAAAGACGAGGGACTAAATTATAATCATGTTGAAAATAGAGGCACTTTTTTGCAGTTCAATATTTGTAATATGAGTAACTTGCAGCATAATCCTAGGGAAAACTTTTCAACCTGAAAGTTTGATTCCTGGAGTGCTAACAACACTTCTCCACAACCACATGGGGTAATAATTGTCAATCAATTTTGAACTTCTTATGTTTGACAACTTCCAGAACTGACCAGTTGGTTGGAATTTATGCAGAAGCACCTTTTTTTTTTCATGGAAAGCTGGATATTTAAGAATCCACAAGCCCCAGAAATGATCAACAAGTATACATTAACATGTTGAAAGCAGAGAGTTCAAACATACCACAAGGTGCATCATCTTCTACAGGAGGGACTACAGTCTTCTCGGTCTTTCCTTCCAGCAGTCTTGGTGGATCATTACCAAAGTCTCCATCTTCAGTATCCATATCAACCTGTTAGATTCAATACAACAAATAAAAAATTAAATCACTGGTTGAATCCCTCACCACAAAAATTTCTTGTGCCTAAGGCAACATGTAAGCTAAGATATTTGCAACAAACAGCACGTAGAGTGCACAAAGGCAAGCCTACTTAAGGCAGTTCGTCTCACACTCAGACCAGGATCACACTCCACAATTATTATATTTATGGCCCCAACTAACAAATGTCAATTATGGTGTCCATTATTTACCATATCAACAAGGGATATTCAGAAGAACTATAATAAAATAATAATAATAATAATAAACATAACTTTTTAACTATTTTTGCTTTACAAGTACACTAAAACAGATGTTAAATACATCCCAGTGAGACCAAATAAATCAAGATGAAAAATTTTTTAACTCGGGAGAGAAGCATCAATATAGCGTGAAACTTTCTCATAACTCATGAGAGAGAAAATAAAAAAGCATGAATAGAACATGGCATTCAATTACCTCTTGAATTCCACTTTGCTTCAGGTCATCTCCCCGGAATAATGACTGCCGTGCCAGCAAAATATCAGAGAAGTCACCATAAATCAAAAGAATGGCTCTGAATGTTAAGAGTCTATGATAATTGGCCTTGTGGGTTCCCAATTTTGTTGAACATCAAAAGTTAATGCACTTTTGGATAGAAAATGCAGTTTCATTTTGAACCATTTCGAACTTCCACTGATTTAATTCAGAGTAAAACTAAGATACTAGACATAACAAACCTTGATATCCAGTTGTGTGTATATCAATGGAGCTTCTTCCCACTGCCAAGCCATCCTTTGTATTTCATCAATGGTAAAACCATGCACATTCCTAGCAGCACAACCCTGCAATTCCATGGGATTATCAACATAATTCAACATCATATAACTATCTGAACTTCCTTTCCAATTTAAGCTACAATCTAGACTTTTGTTTGAATGGTGAGGACTCAATTACTAGCAGATTAATTGCAAAGTATAAGAACAGCAAATTTGAATGACAAATTGCATATTGCACAACTGTGTTGCAAAAGAAATACACTAGAAAGTAGATATAAACTCACCACAGGGTCTCTATATGAAGCCTCTGATATGTAAACTTCATAGCCTGATCTCTGAAATAAAAAGAAAACAAGAACTAATGAGTGATGCAACTAACAGAAAATATGACAGCAATCAACAACTCACAAATTCTATCATCACCAACACCACACCATTCAAACCACCCCACGCCAAAATAAATAAATAACACTCACCCCTTTCCCCCTCTTCCTCTTCATCAAATAAAGGAAAGTTACTCTTGCATGGTTAATAAATCAGATATGCAGGGAGCAGGACAACATAGGGGCAACTAGGAACCAAATCAGGTTGTGGAATTTTACTGAATTGGCATTGTGATTAAATGATGCGGCCAATTATTAGAAACCTACAAAGTTTTTCTGATTATTTAGTAAATAAATCAGACTTCAAGGCAAAGATCTTCCAAACAACCTCAACTTTGAGTAAAACAAATTCAAGAGCCAAAAATATCTAAATCCTGAATGTCCCAATAGTTTCTTTACATTGACTATCACTGAGCAATGCTCTCATCACAGGGTGTCTAAGAATCTGATATTAAGGAGATTAAAATTGGGTACTCTAAACCAACCAAATGAGCTGTACAGTGAAAATGAAACTTCTATGGGTTGATATGTGGTATTAGCAAGGTAGCAACAATCAAGTCCAATTCACCAAACAATACATAAATGCAACTATTTCAAAATCAAGCAGCTATATCTTAAGGACCTGGAAATTCTAAAAATCATCCAGATAATAATAAAAAGGCACACTTACAAAACAGCCCCAAAACAAGATATCTAAACCATGTTATCACTAACATTTTCTGTAAAACTGCTCCTGATGCTATTAATAAGAATTAGACCCCATCCAGGAGCACAAAAACCAATATGACATTATGATTACAAGGGAGAACAACAACATAAACTTCTTACGAAGTTAGTAGAAGCAACAGAGAAGAATTTACAATTACTGTAGCCCTGCCAAATGCAAACTACACACAGTTGCCAAGGTATTAGCTAACACATCATAGGCATATAACAAGGCATGCCAGTATTCCTTCAATGGCCAACATTTACTTATCTAAAAAAGAAGGCCTGTCTCTAAAAAAAAAGAATAAAAAGCAGAGGTCTTTTAATTATGTTATTCATTTGACCCCAAAGGATGACTACAGACTACAGACTTCAGCATCTAATACACCAAAGAAATTTCCAACCTCTTTTCAAGTATTGACTCAACCTATGAACAGAAGGGTTACACTTCCAAAAATTCAAGAACAGAAATCCATTTGATTAATTGATCTACTAACGAAATGAAATTTCATTTTAATATTTCTGCTCAAAGGGATTTCTGATCAATTTATCAATTGTATCAATCAAGGATCTGATCGATTATATTAATTTTAGTAGATCAAAAATATATTAATCAAAGGGATTTCCATCAATTAGAAGAAATATGACTAATTGATCTACTAGTGAAATGAAATTCAATCTCATATTTCTGCTCAAAATTACTTTTTGCAAAAATAAACATTAGTTTTAGTTTCATCATTCATAATTTACAAGAGCAAAAACAAAAAATGCAGCAGAAGCTGCTATCATCCAATCCCACTACAAAGAGATAATGAAGAAAGAAGAAGTAAACTGTACTGAAAAGTGAACACTGACCACTGAAGGAGAATCCAGCAATGGGAACACCCCAGACCCAAAAAAAATAATAATAATAAAAACAAAAAAAGAAAGAGTGAAAACACAGCATATGGACATTAGTTCCATCCTTTTTAAGAATGATGACCTGAAGACCTCATTCTTCAACATATTCCAAGGACATTGGGAAATGAGAACATATGTACTCGCAGAGCTTGTGACAAGAAAGAAGTGAGGGTATACCTTTGCAATTGCCCAAAATTGAGCAAAATCAGCTACCCGCAGATTGCGGTCATCCACTAAGACGAGGCACACATACCAGCACAAAAGGGTCAATTGCCGCACAAACTGCATCTGTAGTTAGTTACAATGAAAGCAGTGCATGGAGCACTGCATCACCACTAAATCTAAAATGAGGCTAGATGATTTAAGTGGTTGGATGCCTTAAAAACCAATAAGTGCAAGAACCCTGAATCAATGTCTTTTGTTTTAAGCCTACAGTTTGAAAATTTTATTTGAAGACAAAAAGTAAAAGAACAAGCAAAAGAGATCTTCATTTTCTAATCTACTCAATAAGTCAAGCCCATTAGACAACAAGAACATTGAGTTTGTACTACAACTAGCACAGAAACAAGAAATGAAACATTAAACCAGATAAAGTACTTTCTTAGCATCAAACCAAACAAAACCATGACGCCTAGTAGGTACATATTGTCAATATAAATTGCAACTGACCATCTTGGAATAAATGAACATCTAAAAAGGTATGTCAGAAGATGATTAAATTATAGCAATTTTGCAGAGATGATAAAAGGCATTTGTCAGTAATTAAATAGTTTTCCCAAACCAAAAACAAACATACCAATGACAAAGGTGAAAATTCCCTCCTCAAGGGTCTTCTTGAATGCTTTCAACAAGCTTTCACGATAAGCCTATTGTAAAGATAAACAAAATGAAATTTGAGAAAACAATAAAATAAGTAAACAGACAGAAAAAGGCATGAGCTTGGATAAAATTATCAGAACAAAACTCTAGCAGGTTGGAAGTCTTAGCAGATAGAACAAGCATCACTTATGGTTATAGTTGTTCTGTAGTTCATATTTTGCACAAGACAGACCAACTAGCAGCACTTCTCCACAATATGTTGTGATGCAATCAATGACGACATATATTTTTTATGTAACCTCAACCAGAAAATTTACATTCTCATGAATATGTAATGCAAAGCCAGGAAATTGAAAATGCATATTCTGTTATTTTTTAACCAAATTTCTTGGTTTTAGTTGCATTTATTAGCACTACCTCTTCCATTTCAGGTTCATAACAATACTCCATGACCTTCTTTACAATTGGTTTCTTGCCTCTTGTAGAGCTTGATGATTTTGAAGCATCACTGTCAACCTTTTGGTATGGAAGTAATACTTGTTAGCATATTTATAAATACACAAACTTAAATGAAATGAGGAAATTTTATGGGCCTTAATCTTGAACAACAAAACTGGCAAACCTTTTCAACTTCAGTCATGAAATAGTCATCCATAGAATGAATTCGGGGTGCATTACCACCATTTTCAACCTCAAGGTCACGCATCATCTTTGCTAAGTAACTTTTGCCACTACCTGTAGTATATGAAGTAAGTTTGTAAACAAGAAGACTGCAAAAGGCATCTTCAATTCTCTAATGACATTTTATGTTCACAGCATTTAACAGCATATCTGATCATTTCAATAGCTGCAAATGCACATGCTTGCATAAACTTATCCATTACCTTTCAAATAAGTGTTAGTACATAAAGTGTTAAGACAAATTTAGAATGACCAAAGAGAAACTCATACCCAAGGTCCTTGCACTGCATCTATACATGTTATCTTCACCCATCAAAGATTTGCTGCTTAGGATAATCCGTACCATCATTTGTTCTAAATTTTTGTCTTAAAAGAATTAAGGCTAGCAAACAATTGCAGGCCCCAAACCCAAAAAGCCTTTCAAGGGCATCACGCATGTTCAATGAAAAGTATAGTAAAATTAACATCTAAGAGTACATATTGCTTCCTTGTTTTGCTAGATGTTCACAACAAATGTGAATTTTAAACTACGAAAATTAGTACAATGCTTTCCCTTCCTATCAGGGCATCAAGTTCCTTCCAACAACATATGATTTTTTTTTTTTTTTTGTACTCCGTTCCAATAACAAGCCAGATTCTTCAAACCTAGCACTCAGAAATACTAAAATGAATTTTCCAAACATAGAAGCAGATGATGATTGACTTAAACTCAAGTGAAGGAGGGGAAAAAAATATATTCGTGGTGAACATGTAACATAGGAATTGAAGTGAATTCTATCTGGTATTTACTTAACTCTAGCAAAGAAAATAGCAGAGAAAAAGAAAACAGTATTTTACCTGGAAGCCCTCTAAGAATTATAACAACATGATTGGGGCGGGTTGCACGATGAGGCAGTTTAAACAAGTGTGAAGCATCAACTATTGTTGGCCTCTCTGGAGACAATTTTTTGTGCAAAAAAGTTTGTCCAGAGGATTGTTGCCATTCCTTCAAACATTCAACAGAAAAGGTTAAAACAAAAGATTCTAATTGACCCAAGTGAAAACACCAAACAAACAAACAGCAAAGCAAAGCAAAGCAACAATACCTCAGAAACAAAGCCAGTTGAGTTGTTATGCAAATAAGGATTACTAGCTGAGTAATTAACAGGAACATGAAACAAAGAAGATGATGACTTGGGCGGTGAAGGGTGGAGTGGTGGTTCCATTGGAAGAGGCGGCGGCGGCGAAGCAGGAAGAGGTGGTGGTGGCGGCGGCGGCGGCGGCTGTCCCCCAAACACCCTATTATTTTCATGGTATGGTAAGTAACCACTTTCAATTGGCAGCTGATGCAGCCTCGTGGCGGCGTAATTACGCATTGGCTGAGGTTTCCAATTATTGCTATTACTAATATTATTCATATCATCTTGGGTAGGTGGAAAAGGACTGTACAGTTTAGTGGTGTTGCCGTGATCGTGAATCAGCTTCAATCTACGCTCGTCATCCGATGAAAACCTTTCTGAATTTTGATTATTCTCGTATCCAAACATCCCAGATCCAATGCCATCGTCAACCCTAGGCCTCTTATAGCTCCGATCAGCTTCACCATTAATACAACTCGTACTGCTATTCCTATAATAATCATACATGGGATTGGGATTGGGATTGGGATTGGGATTGGGATGTCCATATCCGTCTTCTCTGTGCCACTGCCACCCGTGGTTAGGATTGACGACCGCGTATGGGTTGGCAGTAAAAGAATAATACGGGTCGGGCGGTGGTGGTGGTGGTGGTGGTGGAGGTGGGAATCTAGGGTTTTGATTGTATGGAGGAGGAGGAGGAGGACAGAATGGGAAGTGAGAAATAGAGCAGATAGGGCAGATACTGGCAGGATGAGGGGGTGGTATTGGTCGCCATTGATGATCCATTATTGATGGATTTGATTTGATTTGATTTGATTCCCTTTCAAAGGGAAAAAAGGAAAAACCCCAACTCAGCATCAGCTAGAGCAGTAGAGAGAAATGGGGTGGTTAAATTAATTGGGCATTAGCCCCCCAATTATATATATCTCCTCAAATGGACCCTCAACTATAAACTTTATCAATTAGGTCCCATTTCTGTCTACCTTTCCTTTAATTATATCATTATGGTAAAACAATCGGAAATGGAGCTTACATGTTCCCGTATCATATTTTCTTACCAATACTAATTTCTTTATTTATCCTTCCATTCGACAAGTGCAAAAACATGTGTGTAGAAAAAAAAAACTCTAACTTATCGTGTATAAAAGCAATAATATAATATTAGTAGGGTATGTTCCTACCTAAGACATTAGAAAATAAGGACCCATGTGACCAGCATGTGACTATTTAATAGCGTCCCCAATTATTTCAGAAAAGAATCTGATTCTATAGGGTACATAGATGGGGTCTAATTGATAAAATCGTAGTTGAGGGACCCAAATAATAAAGTGCATGTAGTTGGGGGCCTAATCTAAGATTTGCCCAATAATTTAAATCTCTGTTCTCTGGTTCTTGTAGCTCATACTCAGTTGGGGGGTTGTTTGTGAACAGAAGAAGACGGATGGAAAGAAGAAAAGAAAGAGGAGAGAATGAGAATGAGAGTGATGATTCAGTTAGGGAAAAGATAAAAGAAGAAGAGATGAGAAGAATAATTGAAGGGTACCCAGTGGAGGGATTGTCAATAGGAGGTCATGAAACTTGCATTATTTTCCCGTCTCTCAATATGGCTTTCGATATTGGTCGATGCCCACAACGCGCTATCTCACAGGACTTCCTTTTCATCTCTCATGCTCACATGGATCATATTGTCTGTTCTTTCTTTCTTTCTTTTCTTTCAATTTTTCTTTGCAAGAAAGTTTTCCTCAATACAGTTTTTTTTTTTTTCACTGAAATGTTCTTGGAACCCAATTCTGTACTGAGTTGAACTTGATTCTGATTTCTTATGCTTTGGTATAAGTAATGTCTGTGTAAGGGAATTGAATCCATGTTTTTTGTGTTAGGGAGGACTGCCAATGTACGTTGCCACCCGTGGCTTATACCGAATGAAGCCTCCAACAATTGTTGTGCCCTCTTCCATCAAAGAAACTGTCGAACAACTCTTTGAGGTGCATAGGAGACTTGATGGGTCAGAGCTCAATCATTACCTTATCGCCCTTGATGTCGGTAATGTCTTGTGTCCTGAGCTCTATGTTCTAGTTTCCCTTGGTTACATACATGTATTAGTAATTTTTACTCATATTGATAACACAACTTGCAACTCTAGGACAAGAGTTTTATGTGAGAAAGGACCTAAAAGTAAGAGCTTTCAAGACGTACCATGCAATTCAAAGCCAGGTTGCTCTTACTGCTTAGGGCAATTTTTTTTTTTTTTTTTTTTTTTTAAGAAATATTCTTTTGATTGAGCATCTAATTTTAGCCATACTGAGTTATTTGATTGGTACTCTACTTGACGTATTGCAGGGATATGTAGTTTACTCTGTAAAACAGAAACTTAAGCAAGAGTACCTTGGCCTTCCTGGGACTGAGATTAAAAACTTAAAGTCATCAGGCGTCGAGGTTCGTATTTACAGTTACAGGAATATACTTTTTTTCTTTTCAACTAGATTCATAAAGCATAAGTTGATTTTTTCCCCTCCAAACTTGCAATCCCTAACAGCTGTTTTAAGTTTAACTTTAAGACATCTCTCTCGCAAATTTTTAGTCCAATTCATGACGCATGTTTTTCATCATAACAAACCCTTTTGCTCTTCTTGTGAAGACGGGAGGATAGAGAGTAAATCACTGAGATTTAGGTTTTCAGGATTGTGATTTTTGCATTTACTACTATCATGGATTAGGTGCTCTTCTATATATTTTTTATCACCTGAAGAATTTACTCATGGACAGATTACGAACACTGTAACTGCACCTGAGATCGCATTTACAGGTGACACCATGTCAGACTTCATTATCGATGAAACCAATATGGATGTTTTGAGGGCAAAGATTCTTGTTATGGAGGTACATCCCTTTGGTTACTTCTTGATGTTGTCACTTGTTATCTCTTTCATTATCAATTCCTATGTTTATGAAGTGAAATTAAGCTTTTAAGTAGTAATCATAAATGAGTAGAATCACATGCATTGTCTGCTTAGCTTACAGCTGACAGTGGAATGTTATAGCTTGATCACTTTCTTTTCCATTTGGGCTTTTCTGCTATCTAATGTATGTGTAGAGTGTGTGGTTTCCCTTTAAGATTTTAGTTGGTGATTATAATCTGCTAGTTTGTTTCAACCATGTGTGTTTGGTTCGTGCATCTCTGAAACTATTCATTAGACCAAACAAGAATGAATGGATTAAATGTTGGGAGACTTGATCATTTTCTTTTCTCATTTGCATGAACTTCATTGAAGGCTAGTAATTATAGAAATGTCTATGTGGGTGTCTGCACCAATTGCATGTGAGAGAGAGAGAGGCTTTTGTTGGGTTAAGCTTCCATAATGACCTTGATCATACTGACAGAGTCGGATTAGTATTCTTCCTTGCGGTATATATGTCTTTGTTTATTGAGGTGTGTAGTACCTACAACTCTATGTCACTATAAATATCACAAGACAATTGGATGTTGTAAAATTTGTGAGTGGGATGAGATACGTAGAAATAAATTAGGTGATTGAAATGGCTATAACTAGGGAAGTTGTGGCTCTATTGTTGATGCATAAAGCAGTCATAACATATTGTTTGAAATAAGTAAATGAAAACAATAAGGATTAAAAGACTCATGAAATATAATTTTTTGAAACCTGTATCAGAGCAGTACTTGTTAAGGCTCAGTTGATTATTAGTGAAATATTTTAAAGAATTGTGTTTTGGTTTCTAACCACCAACTCTAAATGGCAAACCTCATGTTGATTTGCATAGAATTTCAGAGAAATTTTTATGCATAAAGTTTTCGTACCATATTTTGTTTGAAATAACTAAATCAAAACAATCGAGGAACAAAAGACACATCAAAGTTAATTTTATGAAACTCGTATGTTTAGTCCTCATGGTTAAGCCTCAGTTTTGTTGATTATTACTGAAATAGTTTAACATTTTGTTTAAGAAACTGCCAACTCTAACTGGCAATCATCATGATGATTGGAAAGACTTGAAGAAATTTTTCTTGTTTTAGTTTGCATTGACAATAAAGACATCAGTTTTTATCATCTCATTCCCTGTTGTCTTGTACAGAGCACCTTTCTTGATGGCACAGTAACAGTTGAGCATGCAAGAGATTATGGGCACACTCATCTATTTGAGGTAAAGTGCTTTCGCTTTTTTATTCCCTGCCTAGCATATCTTTTTAAGCTACTAACAGTTTGTTTCTAATATGCTTGGATGAGATATTTCAGATAGTTAACTATGCAGACAAATTTCATAACAAAGCAATACTTCTAATTCATTTCTCAGCCCGTTACACCGTGAAGGTATATTTCTGATGGTTCCTGTGCTTGTTATGGGATATAGCTTGATGCCTTTATCCAGACTCTAGGACCAACCATTAAATAAAAGAGAAGAGGCTCCAAAACATGAGGAACTTTTGCCCTCAAGCAACTTCTTATACTGGTTTGTGAAGTTGATTAGGCACAACCTGAATAAATGTTTGATTATCAACCTCAAGCTGATGCAATTAACAGCTTTGTGCTTAGATATTGACCTATGGTTAGATAGCACCATTTGACTTGTAGGAAGCGTTCACCTTTTCTTTCTTCTAGGTCTGCTATCTATATTCTACTGATGCTTTCTTTGGAACAGACCCACAGAACGTGAATCTTACATTATTGATTTGCAGTTTGTTGTCCATAATCTAAAATGGTTTGGGGTTTTAAATATGATGCGGTCGAGTGTTATCTATCTTCCCAAGTAAATTGCTGATTTTCACTTGTGATTAATAGGAAATCGAACAAGCTGTACAAAGACTACCACAGCCTTTAGCTGGCCGTGTTTTTGCACTTACAGAAGGTTTTTGATGAGATGGACGAGAAGTGAAGTTGAGAAATCATGTTTCTTCTTGTATTTTGTCTACCCCTGCAAAATCATACTATTTTTTCTGCCTTTCTTTCACTCTTCAAAAGAATCTAATTAGGAGTAAGAAAATACAATTCAACAAAGCATGTAATTTTTTTCCAATTGCAGGTGATAGGCAGGGTTTTTTATTATTTTCTTACCCAAAGCACTTCTTTTTAATGAAGGATTATGCCCCGTTGCTGAATTTGTGTATCCCTCCAAACACAAGAAATAGCTGTCACATGTTGTTAGCTAACTGAAGGTTGGCCTTCCATTTAAAAAGTAATCGTTTCATGCACCAATTGGACTGAGATTCACGGTGCCCTCTCTTCTACCCATCTCTTCTGGGTTTTGTTAGAAATCAAATGCCTATTAAATCGATGATATTGCAGTTCAGTGAAACATTCTCTCATGCCCTGTCTTCAATTTGCATTTTTGTGAGTTACGTCAAATTCAACAAACTGCTCATTGCATCCTTTTCTCAGTGATGTATGTTTTCAGTACCACTACTGTTTACTTTGTTCACAGCAATTGTAGATCCTTGTATTGTCGATTTGCATCTCGTACAAACTATGGAGTATATGAAGTGATTAAAATCTCAAATATTAACAAGTACTATTTTATACCTAGGCACCCATTTTCACCAACCAAAAAGAACAAGAGGCTGATAGCCAATCACTAGCTGCTCTGTCACTGTTAGCATGCATATAGATATATAACCAGAAGAAAATAAACACCACCAAGGACAAAATTTCAGTTCCAAAATCATAAAATACAAGAGACATTAGCATTAACCCTGCTTAAATCCAAAATGAAAGTGAAATTACATCGGTTGTAGATCGGTAATGGATTTACCAAGATCCTAAATCTATTCAACTTTATTTTCGGTTCTCAAATACTCAACAACATTTGCTATACTGCAACTGAGTTCAGCTTCTGAGGCTAGCGAAGCAGCTAATGCCTCAATGGATTTCAGCTCTTCATGAAATTCCGGATGCAACACCAGTGAAGAGAAGCATTCATCCAGCACTAACCCAAGCCATCTGACAATATCTTCAAGTTTAGGAACCCAATCACAAGCCTTCAGACCCAACACAGAAGAAGCCTTCGGACAGAGACCTGCCTGAGGAAACATCTCATACTTCTTGAGCCATTTCCCTAAATACCTAATCAAACTCGTGATCTCTTTACCGTTGAGTTTACTAATTGAAGATGACAAGATTGCTTCGTCAACAATTGGTGATGCCAGTACATAATGCAAACAAAGCTCAGACGTTGAGAACCCATCATGCGCAAGCATAAGCAAAATTGAAGCCTCCTTGGTTAGTCTTGATTTCCTTTCCGAGAGATTCTTATCGCTAGCCTTCTCAATAGCTAACAACGCCTCCCTCTCCCATTCCTTCCTCACAATCACCATGCAACTGTAAGCATCCTTTGATGGACAAAGAAAATACTTCAAAATGGCAAGCAACTCAGGCAATCCGAAATCCGAAGCATGTTTAATGGCCAGAGAGAGCAAATCAGACCTCCTTTTCTTCACAAGACTTGTGACCAAATCCGAATAAGAAGAGTGATCTACAATCCTATTAACAATCAAAGTCTCCACCAAATCCCAGATCTCCAAACTAACACACGCTTCCATAACCAAAGCAGCCACATCTCTACCCATAAAAAAACCGACCTTCTCAATCAACACACAAGTATAACCGGCATCAGAGGAATCAATCCCAATTGAAATACCAACCTTGTGGCTAATTTTCTCAAGAAATGGATTAAAAATTCCAATGAATTCATCCTTATTGAAATTACTGTGATCCTTGAGCTTCCGCTTTAGCTTAGCATAGAATTTCTTTCCGGAATCAATGAGTTGGGAATCAGATTGTGAGAGTTGCCATCCAGTAACAGGACAGGCAAGTGATGTGGCATCTGGGTTCTCAAGTGCTGGCTTCAAATTGAGGAAAACACCATCTGTGTTTAAAATTATTGGGTATTCAGATTGGGAGACGACATGCTCAGAATCAGCCGAAGCCTTCGTGATCACCTCAAGCAAAGACATGATGAACAGATATAACAAACAGAAGCTCAAAATCTGTGGAAGAAGCAGTAAGTAATCTTAGAAACTAATCCCAAAGAAAAAAAAAGTTGAAGAAAAAACAATGCTTGAATCTAAAATTGATTGAACCAAGCAATGTGTATATCATATGATCAAAAGGAAAGATAATAAAGACATTAGTGATGAGAAAAGAGAAGCAAAATCAAACCAGAAGAAGGCAGCAGTGTCGTAGCCGCTATTGTGAGGAATTTAGCCTATTTGCAATTTGGGTCGCTGCTAGTGCTAGGGTTTAAGGCTTAAGGGTTTATTATTATATTATGTTGTTCTTCTCTCCCGAGTTTTCAGACCCGGTTCAGTCAATGAAATTTTATAGCATTTTTCTCAAATACTAAAATATTTGAACCGTCAAATATTTTTGTGTCAAAAGTTTTCTGATGTATAAATTTTTATTTTGAAACTTTACAGATACGAAAGGTTTTTTAATGATTTCGATGGAAATTATTATGCAAGTTTTTGTATTCAATATATCATATTTATAATTTTTACATTATATATATATATATATATATATATATATATATATATATATATATATGAGTTTTTTTCCCAAATCATGGTAATTTTATATATCTTTATTTTTTAATTTTTTAACTTATTTATTAAATTAAGATATTTTTTACCCTATAAGTTTTAAATGGTCTTTCGTGTTAACTCGTTATTTATGGTTGAAACGTGAGTACTTGTGAAATTCTCGCTCTTGCTATGGTAAAGATTTGATATATGCTTATTGGAATGATTGATGGAAGGTAATGTTATTATGTCTTTATGATGTCCAATTGTATACGTGTTTTCATGACATAGTTACATGACCATTTAGGACATGCATTGAGTATCAATGTTAGCATGCATTGTCATACAAAATGCATATGCATGTCAAAACTCATGAATAATATTTTAGGTCATGAAAACGTATTTTATGCTATAAATCTCCGATAGCGATCGAAATTATTTATAAAAAAAAAAAAAAAAGATTTTCATTACTATGAGGTTTCTTTGAGGATGGGCTTCATGGGTTTTTCATACAATAATGGTAATAGTTCGGGATCGGAGAAGTACAAACATGTACTTTTAAAGGTTCGGTAGAACGTGTCCGTAAACGGATCCGAGTTCGTCGGATATATATTATGAAAACCCCGAAATGCCTAAATGGGACATGTCCAAAGACAAAAAAAAATTTCAGATTGTTTGTAAAATGTTTTATGATATGAGAAAAATGATTTATTATGCATATATCAATATTTTATACATGCACGTACACTACATGCATATGTTAACTTACTAAGCCGTAGCTCACCTAATTTCTTGTTGTATAGATAAATAAGGTACCATGGTTTACTTTTACGTGGAGCCGACTACCGAGGGATGCACCGGACACTTATATCTTGGATGGGGATTTGGCTTTCGAGTAGACTTACTACATGTTATTTTAATCATGGTATTGACTATAGTTTTATTTATGCTAGGTTTATCTAGTTTGTTCTATGCTATAATAAAGACTATGAAACAAAAGATGATGTGACTTGAAAAACCCGATGTAGTAGTAAATAAGTTAATTTTGTAGTAGTTGGCATAAAACCGATTTTGAATGTAAATGGTGGATGTATTTAATCAAACTACTAATAGTAAAATGGTAATGTGCTTGGTAGTAGCATAGTTACTTTAAATTGTCCATCTGCATGCTAGTATCTTTAGGACATTTAAGTAAATTGATTAAACGTTCGTCGAGTAAAGAGAATAATAAATAAGAAAAATAATCAGCGATATAAAAATAGTAATAATGAATTATACCTAAAAAATTGCAATAATTAATAAGAAAAGAATTTAAAATAATAATAGCCACGAGTACAGTTCAAGGGATATTAAAAGATGGTTAAACGGAAAAAATTTGTAAAGCCTTTTGAATTAAAGTATAGGACCTACACGATAAATATTAAGTTGTTAAGACTTAAACTTCACACTAGATACTAAGATTAAGTCATAGTGTTTTGTTAACTTACATTCATTGCACTTCGAATATGGATTAACGACAGTAATATTCTCAACTTTTTAGGTCCTAGGTTGGGGTTATTACAATAATGATATCAATTAATGGTACCAATCTCTAATTCAAGCCTTCCCTCATTCCTTTGATATTTCCTTTCAATCATATTTGTGTTAAATTTATTCTTAATTAAAGTTTAAACTTTATTTTATATATTTAATAAATATACTTGTATTAATTAAATAAAATATCTTTACAATACATTTACATTCTATAAAAGTTTTAGGTCACGAATATTACAATTTATGTGCTTAGACATTCGTTTCAATTGGCTTAATAAAGAGCTGAATGTGGAAGATTTGTTGAATGCATTAGGAATCTAATGAAAATAGGTGGATAACTAAAATAGAACATTTCATTTCTTATATGCTAAAAGAGTTATCACATTGTATTTCTATAAATGTCTTCTCAAGAATTTATGGCCACAGTGAAAGTATACCAATAGAGTATAATTAGTTTACTTGAGAGCTAAGATATTTGAAGATCAAGAAAAACTTGTGTGAGCATAATTGAATAGGTAATAAACCTAGTTCGAGATCACACTATGATAAATTAACGTGAGGACCGAATTAAATGGAAACCATATATACTCGTGAAAGGTTATTGTGAATTAAGCAATCCTTTTAGATAATTGACTAGTCATGATATTTTGCTAGAAGCAACTATTGATTCATGTATCGAGAGATTAAAAAAGTGTTTTTTACTTATTGATACATTATTAATATATCTAGAAACCTATTAAGTCATATGCATAACTTTAAGCATTCACATGGAAAAAGAGAAGTAAAGAATTTGAAAAAAGTTTCCTATTTTGAAAATTAATTTCCTAAAATAAAAATTAGTTTCCTAATTTAAAAATCATTTTTCTAAAACAGAAATCGATTTTCTTATTTGAAAAGTAGTTTCATTATTTGGAAATCGGTTACCTAAATTAGAAATCGAGTTTCCTAAAATAGAAATCGATTTTCCATTTTGGAAATCGGTTTCTTAATTTAAGTTTAATAAACTACTAGGGTAACTTAGAAAATTGTTTCCTAATATAAACCTCCCTAAAAATGCCTAACCCAACTTATTTGGATGATCCAAATTAATTATTGAGTTACTAAGTGAAGGCCTGCAAGAGGTATTTTAAATGGAAGAGTATTTTGAGAACTGAAAGCAAAATTTCATTAAAACAATTCAAAGTTTATAAGGATAAGATGAACCAAAACCATATAAGTTACCACTTCTTAACCGATAAGGAGAGTTGGTCGCATATATATATATATATATATTAAAGAGAGAAAGAGATGCAATTACCAATAGAAAATATAAAAAGAAAAACACAAAGAAAAATTACACCTCTCTCCCTAAGAGAAAAGTTGCGCCACTTTTTTGAGTGATTTTTGTGAGAAAAATATACATAGTAGAAAAATTAGAGGTAGCATTCTAAGATTTCTTTCACTTCTTGTATGGGTGTTTTTACTACATGGATCGTCATTAGAAACCGAACATTTAGACGATTCAATCCATAAATTAGAATCTACGCTACAAAAGGTAACATCTAATCCATTTTGTTAATATATAATTAGTTGATTCAACGGATGATATTACGACTTTAGATGGAAAAGAATAAAATTTTTATTTATTCCGCACCTCCGTAAAATACATGATCCTTCACTAGTTACCCCTCCGTAAAATATAAGTGTTTTTTTTTTTAATTTTGAGGGTTTTTTTATAGGGATTTATGTATAAAATTTTACTCGTGTTGTTTTTTCATTCCCGAATTTTTTAAAAATTTATTTCTATGTATAATTTTTTTTTCTATTACAATCTAGTCCTTAGCTATTAAGAGGAGAGAAAAACAAAGAGAGAAGTCTGAAGGACATAGAGATCTATGTATTGAATTTTTAATGAATTTTTAGAATATTGTTATTTGCTCTTTAAAAAAATTTATATAATGAATTCTTTTTATTTTTACATAATAGTAGCATGTGTGTGTGTGTGTATATAATCTAAAGATTAAAAGTATTTTTCGGATGATTTCTCTCAAATTTTTTAGAAAAAAATTATAAGAAAAGTTATTAGTTAATAATTTATGGATTTTTAACTTTTCTTACAAGTTTTTAGTTAAGAATCTAGATATAGAAGAATAAATCATTTTTTTAGCAAAAACTTTATGAAAAGCATAATAAATAATTAGTTAAACACAAAATTAAAAAAAAATTATTTTCGATTTAATATATTTTGGTAGACCCATAGTATAGCACAAATCATCAAATTAGAATTATTTTTTAAAATAATTTTACATATTCTAGTCCGACCCGTAACGTAGCACTTGGTAAAAAAATAATAAATTCTAGAAGTAATCCTAACAACACTTTGATAGTGCGATCTCTCACTCTCTATTTAGTTCAATTAATTTAATTGATTTAATAGTGTCTCAAGATGACATTTCGTCACATATTAGGATGACATATCGTCTACATCAATCATTTTTTAAAATTAATTTTTTCACAAACAAAAAAACTGAATAGTTAAACGATGTCGTTTAAGCTTTCAAGTTAATGATAAATGATTTGATCGTAAAAATAACGGAGAAAGGATAACATGTGCTCTAAAATAATAGTTTATGATCTAAATAACCTAAATTACCAAGTAAAGACCTTAAATCACTATAAACCCAACAGTTTGGGGTAATTTTTACCATTAAACAAAAAACAAAAAATGCTTAAACAACATCTTTGATGGTGAAAGACAATTGAAAAAAGATAATATTTATCTAAAAAAATAATTGTTTGGGGTCTAAATATTTTAAATTGATAGTAAATACCTTAAATGGTTATAACCGTAATAGTTTGAGAGTAATTTATCATTAAAACTATACCGATATGGCACTATTGAAAGTTCTATTAAAAAATCT